AGGATTGACTGGTTTGATCTCTTTGCAATCCAAGGGACTCTCAAGGGTCTTCTCCAAAACCACAGCTCAAAACCCACCCCGTAGGTCCTCAAGTACACAGCAGGGGAGATCAACTACGGGGGCCGCGTCACCGACGACTGGGACCGCCGCTGCGTCATGAACATCCTAGAGGACTTCTACAGCCCCGCTGTGCTCTTCCCGGAGCATAGCTACAGCGCCTCGGGCGTTTACCACCAGATCCAGCCCACCTACGACCTCAACGTGAGCACAAACCAGGGCCGTGCCCGAGGCGGCCTGCCTGGCAGGGGTCCTGGGGTGCCGTGGACATCTGGGTGCTGGGAGACGTGGCCCCTACCAGCCAGTCACTCTTTTTCATTGATTGATCCATCCCACAAGGATAGTCCTGGAGCTCAGGTTCTGTGGGGAGAGGCCCAGTCCTGCCTCTCAGCCCCTGCCTGAGGGTAATTACTCTTTGAGGCAGAGGGGTGGCTCCTCTGAGGCTACCAGGCAAGGCAGTGAAGGTCACCAGCCCAGACCACACAGTCAGGGAGGGCTCCTGAAGATATGATGCTTCAGCTCAGATGTGTGCAGGGCAGGCAGGGTCTATGTAGAGAACCCCAGAATGTGGGCCCGAAGCATAAAGGGCCTGCAGAGGAGGGGCTGTGACAGGGTTGAGCCGCTGAATGAAGAAGCAGGGAGTGAGACATCAGGGAGAAGTGGGCTGGAAGGGAGCAGAGCCCATGGAGTCCCGAGGGTAAGAGGGAGATGCATAAAGGTTGCAACCAGAGGTGACCAGTACAAGTACAGGGTGTGGTTGCTTGGAGGTCCGTCCTGCAGGCTGGAGGTAGAGCAGGGGAGGGGCTTCAGTCGCAGCCCTCCTCTCCCCACAGGGCTACCTCTCCTACATCAAGAGCCTTCCACTCAACGACATGCCGGAGATCTTTGGCCTGCATGACAACGCCAATATCACCTTCGCCCAGAATGAGACCTACACTCTGCTTGGCACCATCGTCCAACTACAACCCAAATCCTCCTCTGCAGGTGGCCAGAGCCGGGAGGAGGTCAGTGGCAGCAGAGAAGGGGCCCACCCATCGCAGGGCCAGTCTCCTGTCTACCATCCTGCCTGCCCTGCTGAATGGGGGAGCTCCGTGCCTGTAGACTCCTACGCGGGCTAACGGGGGCCACCCCGACCCATTTGTGTCCCTTTGCCCCCACAGATAGTGGAGGATGTGGCCCAAAACATTCTGATCAAGGTGCCCGAACCTGTCAATTTGCAGTGGGTCATGACCAAGTACCCTGTGCTGTATGAAGAGTCGATGAACACGGTGCTAGCACAGGAGGTCATTCGGTAATCCCCTGCCAGCCCCAGCTCTGAGTCAGCGGGCCCCTGGGCTGCAGAGAAATGATAGCAAAGGCTCCCATGGGCCAGGAGCCATGCGAGGTGCTATAAACTCAGCCTGTAACTCAGCCATATTATTCCCATGTCACAGATGAGTAAACCAAGGCCCCAGCAGGTTAAGGGGTCTAAGGTCATATATTTACTAACAGCCAGGGCTGGGATGGGTACACAGGCCACCCAACCTGGCTTTATGCTCTTAGCGCCTATGTTCTGTCATTGTTTCTCTGTCTATGGCCTAGAACTGGGGAGTGCAGATATGACCACACAGTCCCAGACCACTGCCTTCCTCCTTGCCACTGGCTCTGTAGGTACAATCGGCTGCTGCAAGTGATCACACAGTCACTGAGAGACCTGCTTAAGGCCCTCAAGGGGCTGGTAGTGATGTCTTCGCAGCTGGAGCTGATGGCTGCCAGCCTGTACAACAACTCTGTGCCCGAGCTCTGGAAGGCCAAGGCCTACCCATCGCTTAAGCCACTGTCCTCATGGGTCATGGACCTGCTGCAGCGCCTGGACTTCCTACAGACCTGGATCTCCGAGGGCATCCCAGCTGTCTTCTGGATCAGTGGCTTCTTCTTCCCCCAGGCTTTCCTGACAGGCACTCTGCAGAACTACGCCCGCAAGTCTATCATCTCCATCGACACCATCTCCTTCGATTTCAAGGTCTGGATTCAGCCAGGGTCAGGTCAGGTGACAGGCTAGGGGGTGTGGCCCAGGTGGGAGGGGCACGAGGCCACAGCTGGCCGGCAGGATCAGGGAACTGCTGAGCCGGGGTCAGGGGTCAGGAGGAGCCAGGTGAGACTGTAGGCCCCGGGGAAATCCCTAGGGGTGGGGCGCAGGCTATATGCTGCCAGCTATAATAGCGATGCTGGGGCAGGCAGAGATTCTGCAGTTTATATATGAGAGGCATCTGTGTGCCCACACCAGGTGATGCCCCAGTCAGTGTCAGAGCTCAAGACCAGGCCCAAGGAGGGGTGCTACATCCACGGACTGTTCCTGGAAGGTGCCCGATGGGACCCTTCAGCCTTCCAGCTGGCCGAGTCTCGGCCCAAGGAGCTGTACACAGAGATGGCCGTTATCTGGCTCCTGCCCACGCCCAACCGCAAGGTCCAAGACCAGGACTTCTACCTGTGCCCCATCTACAAGACGCTGACCCGTGCTGGTACGGACCCAGGGCGGGGGAGCCCACACCACACGGAGGGCCAGAGCCGGGGCCCAGGGTTGGGCCAGTTAGGCTGACCCAGGTTAGCTGAACGAGATGGCCAGCAGAGGTCAGTCAGCACTCCTGAGGCCCAGATAGAGCTGGTCCGGCAGCAGGCAGGGTGATGCCCAGGGGTTGGGTGAGTCTGTGGGGAGTGGTCCCTGAGCTCCCCACTCTCATCTCCCTCAGCAGACCCATGTTGGATCCTGGGAGCCCCAGCCTGCCAGTGGAGGTTCCCAGGAGCCAACAGGCCCAGACAGGATGGGTGGGCCTAGGCTGGGTCCAGCAGGGAATGAGCAGGGGTATGAACTGTCCCATTCCAGTCCTTAACAGGTGCAGTAACCCAGGGCAGGCCTGAGCCTGGGCCACACTGGCCAGATAGGCTTCCTCTTGGGTCAGGTCCCTTCCTTGTCCCAAGCTCAGTCGCCAAGGGACCACCTTCCTTTATACCCTGTTCCTGCCCCAGCTGAGGCAGACAGCTTAACCTCCTCCCCTCTTGCCTGCTCCAGGAACACTATCGACCACCGGCCACTCCACAAACTACGTCATTGCCGTGGAAATCCCCACTGACCAGCCCCAGCAACACTGGATAAAGCGTGGTGTGGCCCTAATCTGTGCCCTGGACTACTAGACCGAGACAGAAGGGCTGGGGCCATTAAAGTTGCATTTCCTGAGTGGTCCCGCTGAGCCTTAGCTCCTTACACCAGGCCTCTTCTGTAGGACCCATGGCCAGGGAAGGTGAGGTGAGAGGCTGCAGTGGCCTCGAGAGAGAATGTGTTTAGCAGGGGCAAGTGTGGCAGAGCTGGCAATTTTGACCTGCAACAGGGGAAGAGAGGTGAGCCTTGCGAGGTCCCAGAACCCTCCAGGGACAGTGTGCCAGGCAGGACTAGAGGCACAGCTACCACCTCCACTGAGTCCTGGCACCTCTCAGGTTACAAAGCCGTCAGCTCCGGTAAAGCCGCAGCCCTCTCCTCCCACAGTACACCTTGCACACCGCTCCTTGGGGTGCACAGCACGCCCCCCCGCCCCAACCCAGTTCAGGCCGTAAGCCCCAGACCTAGGGTCCCAAGAACCTCTGCCCCAGAAGGCAGAATGCACTCCCCTCCCATCTCTGGTCACACACAGGGCCCAAACCAGGTCTGGCTAGGTCCTCATTCCCACCACGGCCTAGCCTCCAAACCGCAGGCCAGCAAGCACAGGTGGGTTCATTTTAAAGGAGAGTTTTATTCATTCATTCATCCAGTATTTACAGGGGCCAGAGGGGTCGGGCTATGCTTAGCACAGAGAGGCAGCTGCCATACCTGCAGCTGCCCCCCAACCCCGGTCACTATGTACACATAAGGGGCCGGCTTGGATCGCCTCAGAGCCACCTGCCAGAGGCCATGGGGCTCCGTCTGGGGGCCTGAGCTCCAGAGGCAGTGCTGGACCCATTAGCCCTTGGCCATCAGGCCCTCTGGGAACATGGGGCTCCAACTGGTTGACTTGGTCCTGCTGTCCCCCACCCTGAGTGCCCTGCAGAAGCTGAGAAAGCTGGCATGGCAGGGAGAGAGCTGAGTGGTGCCAGCTTTTGCAAGCAGCCCTGTCTCTGCTGTCTCTAAGAGGAGGGAGACATGGTAATACTGAGGGCCTGGGCAGAGGCTCCTCTGAGCCCAGGAGCCCAAGGCAGGCCCCTTGCCAGGGCCACAACACTGAAGATGAAGAAACCAGGGCCCTGCCACAGAGAGCAGTCTCGACGAGGCTGGCTGGAGCCAGGCCAACCAGCTCAACACGCCTCTCTGCTCAGGCCACGGGACCCCGGCAGGCTGCTCATCCCACCCCTGCTGGGACAGCCCACTCCCAGCCTAGTCCAGCAGCCAGGGCCCTGAGTTTGGAGCTCTCCCAGGTGGAATAAAGAGCAGACCTGGCTTCCTCAACAGCAGGAACAACTGGGGGCTGGAGCAGCAGGGCCCACTGCTCCAGTGGCCCCCGGCTGTGACCCTGCAGGAGTGACTCTGGCCCTCCAGGATGACCGTGTTAAGAGAGAACTCAGAGTCAGGAAGCTGACTATGTCAACACAGTGGTGGCAAGATAGGTCAGAGCCCAGAAAAATAGACGTCTCTGTAGGTAAAATATATATTCTGCTGCCCAGGCAGAAAGGCCAGGTCCTGCCGCTCCACAGCCGGCTGTGGAGGAAGCTGCAGCACCTCACTGGGCCCCAGCTCTAGCTGCTGCCTCCGGAACACGACGGGTCCCTGCCAGGCCCAGGGACATTGAGGCCGAGGATCCCAGCTTGGCTCCCATTCCCAGGGTCTGGGCTCTCCGACTGGAACTATCTGGTAATACTGGGAAGAGGGGGACAGGGCAGGGGAGGGCCCTGGTGAGGGCCACGCGGCAAGAGTGAACACAGGGTCCGGCCAGCGGTCCTCACTGGCGCTTGGCCTTATAGGGCCGGGAGCGTTTCCGCCGGTCCGGCTTCCGCTGCTTGTGGAGCCGGCCAATGCTGACCCCCTGGCGCCGCCGCACCGAGATGTTCTGCTCTACCAGGTTGGCCAGCATGCCTGCGGAGAGACGCAGGCCCTTGAGCAGGTGGCTGGATGCCTGGGAGCCGCTACTCAACTGGCTGCAGCCTCAGGTCGGGGGCTGAGTCTCTCCCTGCCCTCCCCAAGACCACAGTCAGCTCAAGTGCCCCCAGAGGCCAGAGGAAAGGGGCCTGAGGGCCAGGGTGCTGAGCCTGGCTCACCTTCCTGAGCCAGCATGGAGATGAAGGTGCAGATGAACTCATCGTAGTTGTGGGTCCTTCTCTGATCGTCAATCTGTGGGAGAGAAGGATCAGGACCTGAGGACTCTGCAGCCATCTCCCCAGAGTAGCCACCAGCTGACCCTAGCAGGTCACGCCTCTGGGAAGACAGGTGGGCAGCAGACCAGGCCGCTGGAGGGAGGGCCCACCTTGAACTTCTTCCTCTTCTCCACTTCTTCCTTGAGACAGGCCTCATAGTTTGCAATCTCAGCCTCCACACACTTCAGCAGCGCCAGCAGCTCCTGCCAAAACACAGCAATTGCACCCATGAAGGGGGGCTGGCCAGTCCCAAGGCCCAACTACCAGGAGGCAGCAAGAGGCAAGGGCGAACAGCCAGAGGCCCTGGAGCCTATCAAGGCCCCCGCCGCTACCCCACCCAGACAGGCTTCCTGGCACCCAGCTTTGAGCACCACCCTCCACACCGTAATTCCCACTAGGAACTCAGCACCTGGACGGCAGTGCCCTGGGCCCAGAGTTTGTCAGGATTAGGAAAGGAAGCTGCGGAAGGGCTCACCTTGGGTGAATACTTCTCCCCATTCAAGGGCTCGCTAGGCCTGACCAGCCCAGGCTTCTCTCTGCTGTCCACAGCCTCCACCACCTCCTTCTCCTCTGGGCTGCCAGACCCCTGGCTGCCTTGGCTCGGTCTGATGGAAGGGGAGGAACCCTTTCCACTCTCTGGGAAGAGAAGGCAAGAGAAGACCCATCAGGGAGCAGGATGCGCAGTGGTCACTTGGCCACCTCCGTCTCCAATGGCCAGGGAGCCAGCCCAAGGCTCACCTGTCAGTGCCAGGGGACTCAGCACACCATCCTCAGCCAGGTGCAGCAGGCCCGTGCTGATGACAGGACCCAGGTCGCGAACAGCACGGTTGTAGCGTATGCAGTCAACACGCAGCAGGCTGTCGTCCTCTCCAAAAAGCACCTTGGAGATGTGGGAGGTGACGGGACTAGAGGGCCGCGTGGGGTTGGCTGAGCGGATGGGCGAGCGCAGTGGCGAATTGAAAGCGCTGCCGATCTCAGAGGCTGTGTCCGTGCTCTCGTTGCTGGGGGTGGGCGAGGGCTGCGAGTGCGTGGGTACTGCCACAGCCGGACTCCCGGCCCCACTGCTCGTCTTGATGGACAGAGGAATCGAGAGGTCCTTCTGGGACTCTTTGAGCTTCTCGGCCAAGACGTTGATGGTGTTGGGCTGTAGCACTGACAGCTGCCCATCCCCAGAGCTGCTCAATGGCCCTGGTTTCCCTGGCCCCTTTCGCTTATACCTGCGGGGCCCAAGGAGAGGTGAGCCCAAGGAACAGGCCAGGGGACCACATCCAGCAATGCCCAGGATGACCTGAACACTTAGCCTCAGGAAATGACCCTGCAGCTCCAGCAGCCTGACCTGGCCACGCCCAGCCTAGCACCCTGGGCTCTGACAGCTGCAGCCAGCTGTTGTCTGAGAACACCTCCTCTATTCCAGCTGCCTCACTTCTGGCTTTTGGCCAATGCTGTCCTCCAGCAAAGATACCCCACCCCGTCCTTCAAGGCCTGGACAAAAGGCCACCTCCAAATAGGCCATGTCTCGATGTCTGCTTACATGTGCACGGCCCTGCCCCAAGCCCTCCGAAAACTTCTGGGACTCTGGAGTCGGCCCCTTCACGTCTGCCTGCCCCGGGCCCTGCACTCAGCAGGCGTCCAGAAGCATCTGGTGAAGGGCATTCTCTGTGCTGGAAGAGTCAAGATAGGATCCGCAGCACCCAACCTCCAGCCTTACAGAGCTGGGGCTGACCTGATGGCGGAGTTGGTGTTCTGCACGTCGTCCTCCTCGTCATCCTCATAGTCGTCCTCATCGTCTGAGTATTGCTGGGGTGGGCGGACTGGAACTCTGCTGCGGCCCACACCTGCTGCCAGGTCTTCCTCCTCCTGGAGCAGAAACCCAGAGCAACCATGAGCCAGGGGCCAGCCAGCCCTGGCCAGACACAGCACCTCCACCAGAAAGCCAACATGGTTCTCCAGGCTGAGTCCACTGAACCCCTCCAGGTGCTCCAGAGCACTCCCTATCCCCTGCCTACACAGGGCTTCTAAGAGAAAGAGAGTGCCCTGAAACATCTGCATTTATTTTGCCAGTAGAACCCAACTCACAGAGTTGAACCCAACCCCATGCCCTAAACATTTAGCCCCAAAGTTGTGAGACTAAATTTAAAGTCAGAGGAGCTCTCTCTGCCTCCCTAAACCCCTGCAGTTCTGGGCACTTCTGAGTATCAGCCAGAGAACCCTGGTCACCTAGGCTGGGACAGAGAGCGAACATGCATGAAACCACCTGAGCAAGGTACCTGTTGTAGGCTCTCCAGAGAATCCAGGTGGGAATCCTCCCCACTTACCTGCATGGGGGACTTGGCATAGTTGTGATTGTCCAGAAAGGCTGGCAGCCGCTGGACAATAGGAGTGGGGTTGGGGGGAACCCCATTGATGTTGCTCCCTGGAGGCTTCACCACTAGCTTGGGTTTGCTAGGAGGGCTGTGGGTCGGGGCTTGTGGGCACGAACCAGCCACCTCCTCCACACCATCTGAGAGAGGGAGGACACGGACAGGACTTTCAGCCAGACCCTCAAGAAAAGTTGTCCTCAGGCCTGGACTCCCCTCCCCTTCCCAGAGAAGAACAGAAGAGAGAGCTGAGGGATTCAGCATGAACAAGTGCTAAATCACGCAGCCACAGTGAGACAGGAAAAGAGTGAGATTAAAAAAAAGGAGGTGGTGAAAAAAAACTTTTCTTTTCCAGAGAAAAGCAGAAAGGGCATATACTTGAGAGAGAAGGCTTGGGGGCCTGTGGTCATGGCAGCCCTTTACAGGTGCCTTTCTTTAGGAAGGGACGGTTCTTTTTCCACGTTCCAAGGGGAGGGGAGGGCTGCAGGCTTCTGACCGCCCACAGGAGCCCTGAACCACTGCCCAAGTGCCTCCACAGAAAAGGACCTGCTCTGCTTGGGCCTCCAACGTCAGCTGTGAGGGGGTGGCTCTGAGAGGCTCCAGTACCTGTGTGGGTGCTCTCAGAGGCCACTGGGGCCCTGCTTGTTTCCAGCGCCAGAGGGGACTTGCTGCTGGCAGGTTTGGACTCTTCAGGCAGCTGTGACTCTTGAGACTTGTGGGTCTGAATCAGCTCTGGCTGTGTTACTCTGATCAGCTGAAATCAAAATCCAAGGTGCGAAGGAGTGAAGGCAGACCTGGCTTCCACCTGAGACAGCTAAGGGCCTAGGCTCCACACACTCAAAAGTGAAACAAATCAGCCAAACCTCCTTTCAGAGGTTATCCTCCCCCTGCCCCTCACCAAGTCCCACCGTGGGAGCCAAGGAAAGGAGTGGTTAGTTGGAAGCCCAGACCCACAATAGAGAATAACTAGGGAATCAAGAGACAGAGGCCCCCGTGGAGGGAAGGAGCGGGTGGCTGGGCCAGTCACGGCCTGGGCAGGAGGGGTCCCCACCTGCTGCAGGGCCTCCAGTACGGTCTGACGGTTCACCTTCAACACGTGTAGCCTGGCCTCATACTTGATCCTGCGGTCGGGCACCACCGCCATCAGGTTGAAGCGGATGTCGTGGTAGGGCTCCCTGCAGTCACAGCCGCAGCGGTGAGAGCAGCTCTCACCCTGGCCCCGCCATCAGGAGGCGGCAGATACGCTGGCAGGGCTCCCTGAAGTCACACCTGCAGCCACAGGTACAGGCCCCACCCCCACAGGTGGGCAGCAGCTGGCCATGCACACTGGGCACCTCAGCTGGTGCCTTCCAGCAAGCTGTGTGAGGAGCCTGTCAGGAAGTGTGAGCCAGCACGCCTGGGCCACCCGGGGCTCCACCATGGCCTGCCCCTCCCCAATCTATCCTGCAGCAGGCCACACGTAGCCTGGATGGGAAATAGGGCAAGGAGCTGAGAGCCCAAGATCTAATCTTGCTTTTGCCAGATTCATCATGTGGCCATGCACAAGTCATCTGGTCCCTCTCCGCCTTGGTCCCCTCTTCCGTGTCCCTCCCGATGCGGGCACAGCTCCAGAGGGCAGGGCAGGCACAGAGTCCTTACCCTGCAGTGGCGAGGCCAATACGCTCCATGATGACCCGCCGGGCTTTGTCTGTCCACTCCTCGTCCTCCCCCCAGGGCCCTGGGGAAACCAAGACGAGGAGTCAGCAGGTGGGGAACCCTGAACTGGGCAGGCCAGGAATGGAAGGAGGAGGGACAGCAGTTGAGCCAGAGGGGGCCAGCTGGACAATGCAGTGCAATGTGCCATCCAGCCAAAGCCTTAAGTCCTCAACACCCACCCTGAGGACCCCGAGCCCCAGCCCCCTAGGAGGTCAGCAGAGAAACCCCCTACCATGGTCAATGGGGTAGACCTTCAGCCCATCCAGCTCAAAAAGCCGGCCTGTGATAGGCACATAGCTGACAAAGTGGAAGGCTTCCATGGTCCGCACAGCACTAAGGCCATTCTGCTTCTCGGGGAGGTGGCGTGGCTCAGGCCTGGGGAAGGACACAGTCAGCGCCCAGAATGGGACAACCCCATTCCTTGTCCCCACCCCCATCAGTTCCCACAGCTCCCACACACCTGGCATGGCTATTATGTGCCTTGGCCAACTCCGGAGCATTGCCAATCGCATATCCTTTGCTCTAGAGGAAGGAAAATAAGGCCACATCAGAGCAACTTCTCAGGTGGGCCTCAGGTGGGAAATAGAGCTCAGGAGAGCAGGCCTGGAGGCCTTCCAGGAACTGGAACAAGCACAGGTGGCCCCTCCTGAAGGCCCGGTGGGGGCAGAAGAGCGCTCTGCAGCCCCCAAAAGATAGGCTCTACTGGCCCTGCATGGTAATCAGTGGACACTGGAGAACAACGTGGCCTGGTAAAGTCCTAATAAGGCATCACTAAAGGAATGCTCCTTTATTCCCCAGGTCTGTCTCCTTTTCCGACAGTGGAGGACACTGTGGCCTACCTCAGGGCTGAAGCCTTTGGTGAAGTCCTTCATGCGACTCAGGGTGGGCCCCAGGTCCACATTGCTGCAGTTCAGGAGCACACTCAGCAGGGCATGGGTGGCACAAGAGTTGGGGATCAGCTGTGAAACAAAGAAGTCACCCATCTACAGCATCCCTCATCCCAAGCCCATACTCATCAGGAAAGGGGTCCCAGTGAGGAGAGTCCTATCTGGACAATCCTCATCAGCTCTCCTCATCTTTACCCAACATCTGTTCATTCAACTAAGTACCCATCAGCTGTCTGGGGACATGGAAAATGGACTCAGGCATCACCCTGCTTTAAAGAGACTTCCTGTTTTTAACGAAGAAGGGCTCAGTTCCTTCTGCCTCGGGACTTCTGTAACCACCTGCAGTATATGCCTATCTCCTCCTCTTGCCTTCCCCTGCTTCCACTTTCCAAGCAAAGAAAATGGCAGCATCCCACCCTCCAGAAAGAACACAGAGCCCAGCAGACCTGGTGGGCAAAGAACATGTTATTCACAATATCATCATCAATCACAGATGTATCATCCACCAAGGTAGAGACCTTGCGACGGGATCGGCGCTCTTCGATCCATTTGAACAAGAAGATGAATCCATACACGGGGCTGGGGAAAGGAAGGGACAGAACTTGACCAGTCAAGTAGCGGAAGGCAATCTGCATCCCCTTTCCTCTCCTCTAATCCTGTGTGCTGTTACCACTCAGGTGCCCTTCTTGTGATCCCACCTCTCCCGTGGCTTCTTCCTAAGACTGCCCAAAGTGGCCCTGACCTCACACCCCAGGAGCCTGCTGCAGGCAGAGTCAAGCATCAGCCTCTGGCTGTGGTGCTCCAGGAGTCCACTCAGCATCCTTATGCAGTCTAGGGTTCTGGGATAAGAAAGGAAAAGCTGGAACCAATGGCCCAGGACCAGGCAGGAACAGAAGGTAAGGCGAGAACAATATGATGTGGAATTTAAACACTAATTCAAACTTGTGAAACCCAGGGCGTGGGCCCCAGTGCAGTCAGGCACATAAATGAACACCCATATCAGTCCCTTCTGTCCTGGGAAACAAAAGCAGAATTCTCTGTTCAGTCACTGTAGCAGCTCCTCCACACTTCTCTTCTGTAGGACCACCAAGACAAGATCCTGTGCTTGGTCACCCAAGAGAGGCCTTGTCAGATGCCACAAACCCACCAATCAATAGGACACCCTTGTGTGGGAATTAAAACCACTGGTACATGGGCACCTTAAAGCAGTCATTAGTAAATTACAGCTGCACAAAAAACTCTGTGTGACCTGAGTCAGGAGAAGGGGGTTTCCAGCTAGAAGGCAAGAAAAAGCAGCTCAATTTAACCCAAGAGATGGTTAGAATTTGGAGGGAAGGGGGTACCACATAAAGAGTGGTGCGGAGGGAAAACTGGGAGAAAGGAAAACACAGTACCAGCTTCATCAGGAGAGCACCCAAGGAGGAGTGATTCTTCCTGATAGGAAATTTTACAATTTGGGGCTTCTGAAACTACCTCCCTTGAGGAGCACTCTCTCCCGGGCCCCTCCCTAACCCTCGAGGTGTAAAGGGTGGCCCTGACGCCAAGTCACTCACCCCTGGCATTTGCTCTGAAGGTCATAGATCTCCTCCACCTGCACCCCTTTGACACCTGCCATCAAGGAAGGAAAAGAAGTCGGGAAGGGCAGCCCCTGGCTGTGGAGTGATGACCCAGGAGTGGGCCCCCAGAGCCCGGGTCGGGCGGTCAGGAGAGGCTCTTACCGAAATCTTCCACGAGGAGGGTGAAGAGGCCTGGGGGGGACGACAAGAGGAGCGAGTGGTGATCAGAAACGCGCGTCTCGGACCCACCCGGCCTCCCCAACTCCCGGCCTGCCCGATCCCCTTCTCACCAGGGTCGCTCTCCAGCTCCAGCCAGCCCTTATTCATCTTCCCGCGGGGCGGGCCCTCAGCGCCATGTCCAGGCCCGCCCGACCCACCCGCCGCCTCCCTGCCGGGAGCCCCCTCCGCCCCGGGGGCCCCTAGCCCCACACACAGACAACGGGCCTCGTCGCGTCACCCGCCCGCGCCGGCGCACCTCGTCACTTCTGCGCGACGGCCTACCCCCCGCCTCCGGGCTCCTCTTCCGCAATTTGGACTCCAGACGCCGGCGCGCTCGCGCGAGTAGGGCGGGGCAAGAGGAAGGGGTGGGGTTAGAGCCCAGGTGGAGGGAGATGGGGTGGGGCGGGAGCGCGACCGTTAGCGGTCCGGGTCCGCCACAACCGTCAGTGTCGCGGTGGTCCCCGCGGCCTCAGTCTCCCTGGGTCGCAGTCCGCGTGACTGGGCCCCCGTTTGCACGCTCACCCCCGTCGCCGGCGCAGTCACCGCGCGGGGCGGCGGCCCGTGAGGTAGCTACCACGGCTTGTGACAACGAATAAAGCTCCGGAACAGCGGCGCCCTCGGCGAGAACTGGACGGGCGGTCCCAGCCGGGAGCGGCGGCCCGTGTGCTACCGTGAGGAGCGACCGGCGGAGGCGACCTCCGGCCCGGCCCCGCACCAGCCGCCCGGCAGGCGCGACATGAGCCTGGTCTGGCATCCGCGGGATGCTCCTTGAGCCCCATCTCCTGCTGTTATCTCCGGGGGACGGTTGTGGCCACACCTAAAGTATTTTCCAATAAATCATTGTTTATTCTTGCAGCGGCGGCGCCGAACACGCTTCTTTAGTTTTAATTTTTTCAACAAGTTTTACCCAGCACTTACCCAGCGAAACAACTTGATAACCGGGTCAAGGGAGCAACCGCTCTGTTAGGAAACCTCGGACTGAGCAGCTTGTGGAAGCCAGCGTTTGCAACGTCCTCCTCACATGCTTTGAAGACCATTGCGTCTTCCTGTAACTACCAGTGTGCACAGAATCTAACTCAAGGAACGTCTTGGTCCAGCGATGCAAACAACTGAAGTTTTAAGGTTTTATTTCTATTGCTAGATGATCTGAATCCCCCCCACCCCAAGAACTTGAAACTATTCTGTAGCCTGCTAACGTGGATTCCCTAGTGTACGCCCTTCTCTTTCAGCCTATCCAAGTTCTTTTCTTAAATAAACCACCAAATGTCATTATCAATGCAGGTGCAACTCATGGGTTAGAAGAGATGGAGCCTTAGATTTCTGAACAGCTAGTGGCCTGAGCAGTTACCTTCATGCAGTCCCTAAAGATGTTTATGCTCTCCAGCTATATGCTCTGAGGACATGGTGCTGGGGTGTGTGTCCCTGTCCCTGGACTGACCTAATTCACTCAACACCCCTAAGAAATGCTCTCCTCTCCCCCGACTTGACACTATGCTTCCTTCATAGGAGTGGATTTTATTTCTTCTGTCCCCCTTCCCATTCTGGGATTTTCCCCCTAAACCACTGAAAACTGTGAATTTGTAGTCAGCTGACATTAGTCAGGGAAGGAGTGGCAGGGTGTCTTCTCCACTTTAGGGCCTTTTAATCTTGGCTCAGATCTAGAGGAAGGTTGAGAACAGGCCAGACCTCAGTGACCATCTGAGCCTGGTGAAAAGAAGTGATAGGAGCCAAGGGGTGGTTTGTCAGGGTTATATCTTGTCTCTCACTAGAGGGAGTTCTTGCTTTAGGCAGCCAGAATCCCACAGGCTCCTTTTCCTAGGAAAGAGCTTCCTAGCCTAGTTTTTTCTGGGTAGAATTAAGGAGCTTATACTTGGGGGCAAAAGGAGGTGTTAGGAGTGCTACCTTGTATATTTAGTAGACATAAAATGAAGAACCAGTTAGCCAGTTCAAATAGTATCTCCCAAGTTCTCACACTGCTGTAGTATATCAGTAATTCTGACCCTATGCATGTGCCTCTCTGTGACCTATCTGTACCTGTCTCCTCACCTTGAATATAGGGGTAAAATGGTACCCTATTACCAGGGTTTTTGCCAGTTAAATGTAAAATGCCCAGAACAGTTCTGGATACAATTTAATAATTATTGGCTATTACTGGCATTGATACTGGGTAGGTCCCTTTTTTCCTGTTATATGGATGGGGAGGTAAAGTACACTGTTGCTTTGACCTCATGGAACTTAACTAATGTAGACTAAATAGCTGCCTTGTTTATATATATAGCTGGAAGAGCCTGTGTTGTCCTCATTATAGTATAGAAGAGTTCAAGATAGGAGAGACAGAGGCAGCAGCGAATGAAGACTATAAAAGAAAAGAAGAAGGGACATCAAAGACTGAGGTGGAGTAGGCGACTTAAGAGAGTTCGGGAGAAATCACCCAGTGGTCTGTAGTATATGCTTTACTTTCTGTCTCCTCTTTGTGGTCTTGGAGACTGGGGTTGGTTAATGTGGAAGCACATACCAGTGGTCCCCTGGAAGCTGCCCAGTAACCTATCTTCCCATGGATGTCCCTACTGACAAAATCCTGGCTCTAGAGCCTTGCTGCCCAGGTTCATATCCTGGCTCTAACACTTGCCAACTAGGTGACCTGGGACAAGTTACTTCATTTCTTTAAGCCTCAGTTCCTCATCTAGAAAATATACAATAATGGCACTCACTTTTTAGAGTATTCTGTAGATTCTTTGAGCTAATACAGTAAAGAGCCAGGAATATTGCTAGCAATAGGAAATTCTTAATCGATTTTAGTATCATTTTATTAGGCTTCATGAACATAGTACCACCTGATGAGATTCAGGGTAGGTGACAGTAAAAACAGTAAAAGAATAAAAGGGGGTTTGTTCTTGCATTCGTTCAGTCAACACAGGCAATAGAGACACTTGAACAGAAAGATGACTGTGATCTCACATAATTCAAATAATTCAGTGGGTATGGTGTGTGCTTTCAAAAAATATGAAAAGGAAGAAGAAAACTAATGTCTTAACCATTAGCTATTTTGGTCCTTCATCAGGTCCGTGGTTTAACATTTTGAGGGAAATGTTACAAAAGGTGTCAATAGAATCCTCCAAGACTACTTGTACTTTTTCCATTTCTTGTGTAGAAAATCTGCCAAGACAAAGAGGGTAACCCGGAGGAAGCCTTCTTCAGGGCCTGGTAAGAAAGACAAGAGGTTCTGTTCAGCTGCTGCCTCCCAGCCTCAGCAAAGGCCACCTGTAGAGGGCAGCAAACTTCTCTTCTCACTGTCCCTTCCTTCCCAGAATCGCTAAGATCCTGAACTCAGGGTCTGTAATTTTTAACTCTCACATCCAAAGGGGAAGGAACAAGTTAAGTAAAGCAACTTGAGACGAAAGTATATGAAGTGAGCAGCTGCAGCCAACTCCTTCAGATGTGGCTAAAATCATATTAAAGCCTAATTGATACCCAATACCACTTCAGACCAACCTTTTCCTTGTTAAAATGATCCTCTTCCCAGTACTCTACTCCTCCTTGTACTTAGATGGTTATGTTCCCAAAATGAATTCCTAACATCCTTTTTGCAGTTTGCCGGCTATGCCTTCGAGAACCTGGGGATCCCGAAAAATTAGGGGAATTTCTTCAGAAGGACAATCTCAGTGTGCATTATTTCTGTCTTGTAAGTATAAGACCCCCTTTGCTTTGAATATCCTATGACTTTTTAATATAGTCTGTGCTCTGTTTTTGCACCCAGCCTCAGATGCATTGCCCTGTTGGCTTGTTTTTCTTAATGGCTGTTTTCTTTTATTTTTTATTTATTTATTTTTCACATTTTTCAAAAGCATTTATTAAGAAATGGGGGGGGCATGGGAAAAAGGTATAAAGTACACAATCAAGGGAATGAAAGCGTTTACAACATAGCTTCTTCAGGCCAGTGGCAACTAAGAAATATTTGCTGGGCCGACACCAAGGGTATGGAGGCCCCAATTCCATTTTCAATCCCATTTCTCTTGGCTGCTAACCCAACCAGCTCAAAACACCCTCCGAAGAGAAGTCAGATTGCCTTCTGAAACCTCCCCAAACTACTTCCCAGTTGCCTTTACGGCCCTTCTCTGCCTGGCCCCAGATTCCTTCCCTAGGCTTCAGGTGAGCTCAGCCAGACCCTGCTGAGCCCTCTCCGCTCTTCCAGTCACTGAGTGGTCCCTTCATCTATTTCTGTTTGTTTTCTTTTAAAATATGATTTTTTTTAAGTAATATGTGTGCCTGATACAAAATCCTAATATTGTAAAGTATGTACAATATAAAGTCTCTTTCCATTAACAGTGTTCTCAGTCCTTCTCCCTCTCCCCAGAAGCAAACAGTTCTTGCAGTTATTTTTTTCCTGATATTTTCTTTTTCTTAAGTATAGTTTGTATGCTATGGAATGCACTCATTTTAAGTATACAGTTTGATGATAAGCTCATATATCATGATGCACTCATATATCATGGGGATAAAATGTATGTTTGCATGTAAACACTACCCTAATCAAAATAAATATTTCCATCATGCCAGAAAGTTCCCTCCTACCCTTTCCAGTTAGTTCTCTCAAAGATAATCACTGTTTTGATCAATAGACTACTTTTCTCTATTCTCATAATTCATATAAATGAAACCATACAATTTGTACTCTTTTGTGTCTTGCTACTTTCATGAAACACAATGGTTTGAAAATTGACCCTTGTTGTGTGGCTTGTTAGCTTGTGCCTTTTTATAGTGTAGTAGTCTTCTGTTGTATGAATATATTATAATTTGCTTTTTTATCCACCTGCTAATGAACATTTGAATGTTTCCATTTGGGGGTTTTTAAGAATAAAGCTGTTGTGAAAATTCATGTACAAATTTTTTTGTGAAAACATACTTTCACTTCTCTGGGACAAATGTCTAGGAGGAAAGTTACTAACTGTATGTTTAGCTTTGTGTGAAGTTTCCAAATCACTTTCCAAAGTGGTTGTACTAGTTTATACTCTCACTAGCAATTTATGAGATTTCTATTTGTCCAGTATTCTTGTCCAAAATCTATATTGTTAATCTTTTTAATTTTAGCATTCTAGTAGGTATGGTTTGGTATCTCATTGTGGTTTTAATTTACATTTTTCTGGTGACCTAAAATGTTGAGTTTCTTTTTGTGTGCTTATTGGCCATTTACATATTTTCCTATGTGAAGTGTCTGTACAAATATTTTGTCCATTTAAAAAGTCTAGTTGTCTGGAGACTTCCCTGGAAGTCCATTGCAGGGAGCTTGGGTTCAATCCCTGGTCAGGGAACTAAAATCCCATATGCTGCACAAGGAGGCAAAAAGAGTTGTTTTGTCTTATTGAGTTATAAGAGCTCTTTATACATTCTGGCTACAAATCCTTTTTCTGATATGTGTATTTTCCCAGAATGTGATTTGTCTTTTTTATTTTATTTTTCAAGTAAGTTGGTTTAATTATAGGTGGAATAGAATTCAGGATAGAACAAAGACTTAAGAACACATTTTGGCAGGATTCTGGGCTGGGTTTATGTGAATCTCATAGCTAAGGTAGAAATGACTGAGAAGAATTATAGTCAAAATAAGTCACTGTATATATGTGTGTATATATATGTATATATATATATATTTTTTTTGCAAAACTTATTCTTAAGTTTCCAATAGGTTCCAAGATAACATTGCATTCTAGGTATAGGTGGCAACAGATTTTATAGCAGGTAATCCAGATGTTTAAACACCTGGAATGGAATTAAGGCTCATCATTGCCTCAGGCACAAGGAACAACTTTTTGCCAGGTTTCTTAATTCTACATGTGGCTAGGGGACCTTTCTTCCCAGGCTTTGCTTTTAGCTTCTCAAGTTTTTTCTGTTTTTCGTCTGTTTCTGTTGAATGTCTTATCCTTGGCTTGCTTGTTGGGCTTCAGGGGCTTCTTCTGGCCACCTCTGAGGCCTGACATCACACATGCCACCCCTTCCCCCTGCTTTAATGATATCTTTTGAAGAACAAAAGTTTTTAATTTTGATGAAGTCTAGTTTATCAGTTTTTCCTTTTATTGTTAGTGCTTGTTTGTGTGTCCCAGGAAATCTTTCCCTACCCGTTAAATTGCCTCAGTGTCTGTCAAAATCTGTTGACCGTGTCCATGGATCTGCATGATCTGTTTTCTGTCATTGACCTGTGTGTCAATCTTTACCAATACCACACTGTTTTGATCATCTTTAAAGCATCTTGAAATTAAGTGTTGTAAATTCTATAGTTTTTTTCCAAGATTACTTTGGCAATTAGTATCAGATGATTTCCTTTTCCATATACATTTTATATTTAGCTTCATATTTTATATTTTCTTGTTTAAAAAAAAGCTTGTCATGTTAATGATTGGTATTGCATTGAATTTATAGATCAATTTGGGAAAAATTGACAAGCAGTGTTGAATCTTCAGTCCATGGACATGGTATATTTCCCCTTTAATTTGGGTCTTTTAAGATTTACCTCAGCAATGTTGTTTTAGTGAAGAAGTCTTGCACATATTTTGTTAAATGTATTTCTACATAGTTTTTTATTTTTATGCTATTGTATAATGGTATTTTAAAATTTAATTTTCAAGGTTGCTGGTGTATAGAAATGCAATATTCTTATTCTTTGATTTTATATCTGCAGTCTTGTTAAATTCACTTATTCATTAGATTTTATTGTTTTAATTTTTTGTAAATGCCTTTAGGATTTCCTGTGTACACAATTATGGGTGCATAAAGGCAGTTCTACTTCTTTCTTTCCAAGCTTTATGTCCTTTAATTCTTCTTCCTTCATTGTAATAGCTGGGACCTTCAGTCCAGTGTTGAATAGAAGTTATTTGAGCAAATATCTTGTCTTGTTCCTGACTTTAGAGGACAGCATCCAATTTTTCATCATTAAACTATGATGTTAGCTGTAGGTTTTTCACCAGATTGGAGAAGTTCCCTTTTATTTCTAGTTTGTGGAGGGTATTATGAATATATGTTGAATTATGTCCAATGTTTTTTCTGTATCTATTGAGATGATCATGGTTTTTCTCATTTATTTTGTTAATGTGGTTTGTTATGTTGATTGAATACTTTAATGTTAAACTAATCTTGCATTTCTGGTTCAACCTCTGCCTGGTCATGGTATATAATCCTTTTTATATGGTGCTGGATTCAGTATTTTGTTTCATTTTTATATCTGTGCTCATGAGAAAGATTGGTCTGTGATTTCTCATTCTTGTAAGTTCTATCTTGTTTTGGCATCAGGTCTTGTTTAATTTCAGTGCATTTTTACACATATACATTTTCGACATAAAAATAAACATACACAGTGCTTTGTATTTTTTTAACCTCATATATTTACAGAGATCTTTCCATTTAGAATATACTGATCTAGTTTTTTTTTTTTAATAGCTAATTGGTATTCCATGGTACAGGTGTGCCAAAAAGTATTAAACTCCTATTAAAGGACATTTAGATTATTTTTAATGTTTCACTACTGAATTTTCTATTTATAGAAATTATACAGTTCATTGTAGAAAATGTTAATAACACTTAAAAGTATAGATAGAAATCACTCATGTAGTCCTAAAGCCTTGAGTGAGTGTAAACATAGATATGTTTTAGGCCTAATTGGGTTATGATTCAAGTATCCTCAAGTCATCCAACCTTGTAGGCTCACTTTTGCTATATTGTTAAAATAACCTCAGTCCCCGTTACATGTAATTACTGTAAAGTCTAATACCCTTCTTAAGATTTTTGGAAGCTTCTTGGGGTGGGGCTCAGGTGTGAAATTCTTCCAAAGTATGTATATGTTCACTGTTCTTGGGTATATAACAGTTCAGCTTCTTTTTGTTTGATTTCCCATTCTAGGCTCTGCTTTGGGGGCTTTTCAGAAACAAAAGGTCCTTTAAAGTATGTTTTCAAAGAAAAGTTCAATTCTTCTCCTTTCCCTATAAGGCAGAATGACTACAGTCAGGAGACTTTAAAGTGCTGTTTCCTTTTCTGTAAAGAATACATTCTGAGAAGAGTATTGATTCTGTACCAAGGGTCAGTGCAGCAAGAGAGGGAGAGTGTGAGTTCTGTGGGCCCGGATGTGACTGCCACTTGGCTGCCTCCTTACTGTGTGACCTCAGCCAGTCACTTAATGCACTGTACCTCAGTGGCCTCTAAGATGAGGATTGCAGTGGCATCCATATGACAGGGTTGTGAGCAGAAAATGAGTCACTGCGTTAGGAATCTTTCTCCAAAGTGCTCAGCACACAAAAATAGTCCTCAATAAATGAAAGACAGCATAGCACAAAGGTGGATAAAACCCAGGCTCTGGAGTTCCGTTGTCTTGATCCAGTCAGATGATCTCTCTAGACTATAAAATGGGGATGATGATAGTACCTACCTCTTAAAGTTGTTGCAAGGATTAAATAAGTTAATATTTGAAAAGCACTTAAGAGTCCCCAACACCTGTGCTATGTAAACCTTTGTTAAATAAATAAATTACCCTGTGAATGCATGTGTATCCCACCAAGCTCTATTTCTTGGCTCTCTTACCCTGTCATCCTCCTCACCCTGCTGCACTGTCTCACTGATCATCAGTGTTGACAGCCTGGTTCTGCTGCCCTTCTAGATCCTATCTAGCAAGCTGCTTCAGAGGGGCCAATCCAACAGAGGTTTCCATGGATTTCTACCTGAAGACATCAGAAAGGAGGCAGCCCGGGCCTCGAGGAAGGTTAGAACCCCTGAAGTGGGGGCTGGGGTCGGCCTCTTCTACTCCTCTCATCCCTGCTTCTGTTCTTCCCCCTAATTGGTAGTTTCAAAGTCAAAGGACTCTTGAATTTCCCACTGGTCTTTCTCTTAAGTTCCATCCTTCTCTAGTGTATAGTGTCCTAAGTGAGGAGAGGGAGCGACATCCTGAGAAAGCCAACAAGAATGCAGTGCTGCTTGAAGCTCAGCTTTGGCTTGCTTTAGAGCTTCTACGTCCACCGAGGAAGCGGAGTGGCTGCTGTTTCAAAGCATTTCCATTCCACAGCATGCTGTTTTTCTGTCTGTCTGTCTGGGGGACCTGAGTACTGCCCGGGATCTCATTTGCAGATCTGCTTTGTGTGCAAGAGAAAGGGAGCTGCCATCAACTGCCAGAAGGACCAATGTGTCAGAAACTTCCATCTTCCTTGTGGCCTAGAAAGGGGTTGCCTTTCACAGTTTTTTGGAGAGTACAAGTGAGTGATGAAGGGGGAAAGTTGAGCTGCCCTTTTGTAATTTGTTATTTAGCATCTGATGAAATCAGAGGCCGGTTCTCACGGGCCTATTTTGATTCACCAGAAAATCTGTCCCGCCATTTGATAATGAGAAACAGTGTCTTGACTTGGCGATTTCACAGATTTACTGCTTGCTTCCCATCCCCTCCTTAGATTACAAACAGCTGGGATTCTTAGACAGCTGCTCAGAACTAAGTGGGGCTTTCAGGAACAGGAGGCTGTGGAGCTTTGCTCAGTGGGAAAACAGCTGTGAGAAGGCATGTGGCTGTTCTTCACCCTGCTCCTCCTCCTCCCCATGAGCTTGGAGGTTCACTGGACACGGGCCAGGGTGGTTGATTGCTATTCCTCTTCCGGGCAGCTGGAAAACTGCATCATTTACAAACAAAAAACGAAGTCTATTTATTCTGCCATAGATCATTTTGTGGGAAACATCGCCCTACACAGAACATCCGACGCAGGAACGTGGGGGAGGAAAGCTGTATCTTATGTTGTGAAGACTTGTCCCAAATAAGTGTTGAAAACATCCAGAGCCCATGCTGTAGCCAAACTATCTACCACCGGAAGTGCATACAGGTGGGGCTCTGTCTGCACTGGGGACCATCCACAATGGCCCAGCTCTGAGCATCCTGGGAATGCTCAGGCAATCTCAGCATCTCTGCGTTGTGCTGGAGGTCTGTATGCAGAACTGGTTCCAGAGGAAACTTAGCTGGGTCTCTGGTCATCCTTGACCTGTAGTACCTCATTCATTATTTAGACTGAAAAAAAATCCTCAGGGTGGCTGGAGCAAATGAACTACTCCTAGAATGAGTCAAGTAGCTTCACAATCAGCCATGGTTCCTGAGATTGAAGGAAAGGTAAACATGTATCCACGGTACCTGACACCAGCCAGGTCAACCACTGCCAGACCCCATGGCTGAAGATGACACCTGAGGCACTCCTGGGTGCTCTCTTGAGCTTTTTGGTCCCTGATCTGACCCCTGGGTTTGCAGCCCTCGCCCCAACCTCTCTTAGCAGTATCCTCTGTGAGATGAGGGTAAGGGTGGAGAGAATGTGATCAAAGAGAGTGTTTTTATAAGCACAAAGTTTTCCATGTTTATCTTACAGAAATATGCTCACACATCAGCAAAGCATTTCTTCAAATGTCCACAGTGCAACAATCAAGAAGAGTTTCCTAAAGAAATGCTAAGAATGGGAATTCATATTCCAGACAGGTAGTGGAAACTTGACCACAGGAATTGAGCCAGGGAGTGGGTTGCCTAGGTTTCTAGAGAGGAGGTGTGTGTAAGGATAGTTCGGAGAATGAGGAAGTAGCATAAGCGTTGATACACAGTGAAAAGGGAAGGGTGGCGGGAGAACTTTTCAATTATAAAGGGGAATGGAGGGGGCAGGACAGTAGGGGTGGTGCATATGTTTCCAAAAAAAGGTGCTTTTGGGGACAGAGTTCATTGAGTCCTTGAATTCCAGTGTGAAGCTAAGGAACCCCTGTGTCCACTCATCTGCTTCAACCCTCTCCCACTGCCAGACCACTTGCCCCGCCTTGTTGAAAGCATTTGGGCAGCCTGTTGAACTCTTGCTGTACCAGCTTGAGTTCTTGCTAGTTGTTCCTAGGTGAACAAAGGTTTTGCCAGCCGATTTTATGTCCCTTACTCACTGTTTCTTCTCCCACTGCAGAGACGCTGCCTGGGAACTCGAGCCAGGGGCTTTCTCAGAGTTGTATCAGCGCTATCAGCATTGTGATGCCCCCATCTGTCTGTATGAACAAGGCAGAGACAGCTCTGAGGAAGAAGGGTAGGGAAAAGCTCCTGGCTAGAAAGATCTCTCATCGGGGTGATCTTAGGCCTTAGTACAGTTTTCAGGCACAAGAAATTTACCTTTGTCTGCAGATCTCAGGGCAAACACAGCTGCTAAGTCCCATCCTTGAACAGCGCAGGACTCACTCATACACAAGTGAACAGGTCCCTCTGCTAGGTCTGCTCTCCTTGTGCCCCACGGAGAGACACTCAAGGCCACTTGCTTCCCAGTCTACCTTGCGCATGGCTGTGCCTGACCACAGGCCCCGGGATCAGCACTCAGCCACCCTTCCGTCTTGAGTAAAATGTGTAGTGAGAGATTCCTAGGAAGATCTCAGCAAGGGCCTGAACTGCAGCAAACATCCCAAGAGTGGTTCTGAGTGTTCCATGTGTCCCACAATCCTCCCTTGGCTCTTCCTGTAGGAAGTGGCACCTCATTCTGTGTGCTACATGCGGATCCCATGGAACCCATAGGAACTGCTCCTCTCTCAGATCCAACTGTAAGAAATGGGAGTGCGAGGAGTGTGCGCCTGCTGCCAAAGTCATAGGTGGGACTGGAGGGATAATCTGGTCTTGGTGAGGGTGGTGAGGGTGGGCTGGGACTCGTGGTGGTGGTGGAGGTAGGGGATCAGGGGGACTCACAGTGCTTAGTAAAGGAGGAGGGTGTGCTATCAGATGTGGACTTTTACTTGGTACTTTAATTTGGGAAGAAAAGTGGCTAGGGAGGGACATAAAGACCTGTGCCTGGGAAGGAAACAGAGGGTCGAGTTGGCCTCTCCCAACTTTCTTTCACCACAGGGTACACACTTGAAAACTCAGGTGACATCCCCTGTTGCAGCAGCACCTTCCTCTCCAGGGAACATGTCTACAGAGACACCGGGCTGGAAGAGAATCCGGACCCTTCTTGGACCAATTGGCCAGGATCTTCCTTATTAGAAAACCCAGAGTCCTCTGGTCCCAGGAGGAGCCACTCCTGGGGATCCGAGGGTGTCACACTCTCTAAGAGCTGCAAAAAATCTGAGTAACATTTCCTGAGTAGTTTCTGCCAAGCACATTTGGGTACAGAGCTGTGCTCCTCCATCAGGTTTAGAGGAGGGAGCCCTTTGGGATTGGGAGATGAGGAAAGAGGCCAGCAGGGAATCTCTTAACCAAGAAAAGAGAAGTCCTGGGGGAACGCTAGTTCAGAGCAGTCCTGATGCTAATCACGGAACAACTTTGCAGTTTGAGAGCACCTCTGCTCTTCCTGTCTGATCCCCAGAGGGCCTTTTATACTCTTCTTTTCTTCCACCAAGATTCTCCCACCTTGATCTAGTTCTCGTATACTTCTTTCTTCACCCGCGTTTGTTATGCAAATAAAGGTTTTCTCTCCATTGGTGTCTCCGTATACATTCACTCTGGAATTTATCTAGCATACTAAGGGATCTACAAAATTCAGTAAATTAAATGGAGAGCTTTCAACTTAGACCTGTTGCTTTGGAGGGAAGTATTTTGCAGGTAAATGGACTTTACGGGGACAGAGACTTCATCATTGTGCAAATAAACACACAAGATATCATCAGGAAGGGGAGCAGCAAAGGAGTCCACCCTGGACTGAGAATAGGCCACCACTGCAAAGCTTGGGACCCTGGACTCAGACAGGCCAGGGACAGCCATGCTTATGTGGGGCAGAAGGGGCTCCCCTCACTCCAGGTGGCTTGGTCATCAGCATACCTCCCAGCAAGAGTGAAGACACAGCTCCACTCAAACCCTCCTACCTGGTGGCTTGAGTATTTCCAGCTCAGGTAAGGGGGCCATGCTAGACATTAGGCAAGGCAGCTAGGATAGAAATTTGGCAGAAGGTCTTGGGAGAAACAGAACACTTGTTTGTTTTTAATGCTTTTGTGGGTTTTGGATTAGTGGGGGAAACTGGACCATTGCCAGATATTGAGTTGGCAGTTTCACCAAGGTGAAACTTTTTTTGAACCAAGGTGAACTTGGTTCAAATGTTGCTGACCCCTGAAGACTTACACCTGAATGTGTACAGTGATTCGGATTTGACCAGATTCAATTGGAATCCCAAAGGGGCAGTTAGGGACAAAGTAAAGACTTTTAAAAAGTCAAAGCATACTAAAAGGACTATAGTGAAAATTACTTTCTGGACTCATCCTTCCCTACCCCCAGTCCTATTCCCTGAAGACACCTACTTTCCACTTTTTTAGCCATTTCTTAATATATTAATCATAAGACATTTTTTACTTCCTATATGTTCCATAAAGACCTAATATCTTTAAAACCTTCCCATTTTCATTCCCTCCTCTTTTATAATTACATCACAATTTCTGTTAAATTTAACCTTCAGTGTTTACATTACTATGGCTATGTAATTGCTGTTTACTACTGAGTCAAGTGTATACTATGTTTATTTTTCCTCTCCTGTACATTGTTTATTCCTTTAAACTATATATATATATATATATATATATATATATATTTTTTTTTTTTTTTTTGCTGTTTACCCATAGCTAATTCTTCCCATATATTCCACATGATCAAGTGCCTCCTAGTACAGTTTTCCCTCATAGGCTGAACATCAGATGGCTATGCACTTCTTTTCTAAAGACCTGCCTCCTAGAGCCTGCTCCTTCTGAGCTTGCTGCTCACTGGGCCTTCTCACATCTCCCCCATGACTCTGCCTCTTTTCATTTTCTCTCCCGCAACTTAGGGGATTCAGTGCTGTGCTTCCTAAGCTGGACATCCAAGGACACTTTGCCAGAGCTCTGCAAGTGACAGAGACGTTTCAAGTTATATTTTAAACAATATTTTACCTATCCTAAAGATTCAACTCTTGCAGCAATAATTCACAACTGAAAGATGCTTCCAAAATTAAGACATTAGTTTCTTACAGAGTTTATATAACTTGGGTCACCAGGCATATTCTCAGACATCTGGGGTAGTATCTTTTCCTTTAAAAAAAAAAAGAGTCCATTTCTGTACTACTCAAGTGTGAGAAATACCACTGTAACTGAAAATAATGGCCCTCAATCAGCACCCTCTAAACTCCTGCTGCAGTGGGTGGCGGGTGGAGCTCATAGTGGGAGTGGGGAGAGGGGGTGCGTTTTGTCACCCAGACATTCTGTTGCCCGATTTCTGTGTGCAGTTGGTGCCTATCAGAACAGTGCACATGTGTGCACACACCCTTATTAACTTTATCATAGTGTGTATACCCTTACTCTTTGTTGATGTTAATAGCTAACCCCATTTTTGTGTGCTAGAAAGTCTTAACTTTGACATGTCCTCTTCATGTGGGCCTAACCAGCCATTCTCAAATAACTGGGCTTTTTCCTTAGACTTTTAACTTGGGATAGTTTTCAAAGATTTAAAGAAAAACTATGAAGATACTGTAGAGTCCCCACATACCCCAAGCCCAGGTTCCCCCATTAATGTCTTGCAGCAATACGGTACATTTGTGTCAGTTAACGAACCAATACTGATATATTACTATTAACCAAATAAAGCTCATATTTTATTCAGATTCCCTTAGTTTTTACCTAGTGTCTTTTTTCTATTCTAGCCGCCCATCCAGGATACCACATCGCATTGAGTCATCCTGTGTCCTGAGGTTCCTCTTGGCTCTAAACAGTTTGTCAAATTTTCCTGGTTTTTGATGATCTTGACAGTTTTGAGGAGTATGGTCAGGTGTTTTGTTGAGGTCTCCTCAACTTGAATTTGTCTGATGTTTTTCTCATGATTAGGGCTTCCCCGATGACTCAGCAGTAAAGAATCTGCTGGCAATGCAGGAGATGAAAGATATGTGGGTTCTATCCCTGGATTGGGAAGATCCCCTGGAGTAGGAAGTGGGAACCCGCTACAGTATTCTTGATAGAAAAATCCCATGGACAGAGGAGTCTGGCAGGCTCCAGTCCAAAGTCTCAAAGAGTTGGAGACAGCTGAGCCACTGGAGCACACGCACACACTCATTCATGGGTTTGAGGGAAGAAGACCACACAGGTAAAGTGCCATTTTTATCACATCAAATTGAAGTCACCTATGATCAACATAACTTATCCTTCTTGATGTTCATGTTGGTCACCTGGTCAAATTAGTGTTTGTCTAGTTTTTCCAGAAAGAGAAAAGTTACTCCCTTTCCCCCTTTCATATACTTTAAATTTTGGAAAGAAGCCATTCTGTGCAGCATGCAATTAATGAGTGGGGATTTATGTCCCCTCCCTCTTTAAGGGCTGAGTGTCTACATGTATTTGTTTGGAGTTTTTCTGCATGGGAGATCTACCTGTCCTCTCCCGCTTACTTATTTACTCAACCATTTATATCAGTATGGACTCGTGGATATGAATATTATACTTTGGGTTATAATCCAGTTCTACTTATTCTGTTGGTTCTACTTATTCAGGTTGTTCTAGCTTTGGCCACTGGGACTCCTGTGTCCTTTTCACATACTGCCAATATTGTGTTCCCTTTTGGTTTGGTTTTGTTTTGAGCACTTCTTTACTTTTTGGCCCTACAGCATAGCCCAGACTCATCTTGCACTATTTTATCTATTTTTGGCTGGGCTGGGTCTTTGTTATGGCGTGCAGGCTATCTCTAGTTGAGGCAAGTGGGGACTACCCTCTTGTCGCGGCACACGGGCTTCTCGTGGTGGTGGCTTCTCTTGTGGAGCACAGGCTCCAGGCGCTTGAGATTCAGTAGTGTGGCACATGGGCTTAATTGTCCCACAACATGTGGGATCCTCCTGGACCAGGGATTATACCCATGTCCCCTACATTGGTGGGAGGATTCTTAACCACTGGACCACCAGGGAAGTCCCTCATCTTGAATATTTTAAATACTTGTTTCCATAAGTGGTGTGTCTGTGAGAATTACTGTTTTATAACTTAGGACCTGGAACAAATAGTTCACTTGGGGAGAATAGGAATAGACGTCAAATAAAATTTCCCCAGAGCACCTGCTCCCCTTCCTCTAATTCTTACCTTTGTGGGAACCATGAACTAGGGTGAGAAACTTCAGAATCTCCTTATGTTTCCTTTTCTGCTCAACCACCCTCTTTCTTGTCAATTTGAATTTTTTACATGTTTGCCTTCCTCTCCATCCCAGGGCCAATGCTCAGCTCAGATCCTTGTGCCCCACAGGATGACAGCAAAAGCCTTCTCTCTGTATGGTTTCCTACATCCACTTGCTTTGCTGACATATCTATCCTTTTCCCTTCTGTAATTGCCATAAAACATCTGCTAACTCTTTTTACTAGGATGGCCCCCACTGAGATGGACATCTAGGGTCTTTCTTTTTTTTTTTCCATTTATTTTTATTAGTTGGAGGCTAATTACTTTACATCATTGCAGTGGTTTTTGTCATACATTGAAATGGATTAGCCATGGATTTACGTGTATTCCCCATCCCGGTCCCCCCTCCCCATCTAGGGTCTTTCATGGGCACTCTGCCATGGCTACCCTGGCATAATGGGCCCTGAGCATGAGGCTTAGAGTATAGAAAGTCGTAGCCTCCATCATTAGCCTGATGAATCCAGGGTGAGGGCCACTTCCTCACACCTTGGCACTCCTCTGAGCTCTGCTTGTACCCCTGTGATAGCCTGTGCTGTTCTCTATCCGGTCCCATAATTGTCTCTCCCTCTAGATCGGAAGTCCCTGAGAGGAAGGGACCTGCCTATCTTATTAACTTTTCTCCCTCTCATGGTGTCTGGCTTGGGACCCCACATTCATGTCACCTGGATTATTGGATGTGCTCAAATCCTGTGTTTATAAACCTGTTGTTTTACTGTCAAACACCAGAGGGCACTGTGAGCACGTTGAGGAAGAAGATTCTAACCCTTTACACATGGAAGGTTGAGAAAGGCTTAGGAAAGCTTCCTTCTGTTTTAGGATTGCACAGGACTTACTGCTATTCAGGTGTTCTGAACACATTCATTCAAGTTTATTCATGAGCTGTGCCCCTGTTATATTTAGCGATTAGTATAGACATGACAGTAACTTCTAAGTTACTAATGACACTTAGGATCATAGGTCAGGTCCTTAGATAGGACTGCCTTCCATATCTCTCTAGACCCAAAGTGATCTTCCTAACCGCAGCTGCCCTCCCCTTACCCCTAAAAATGGGATCTCCCAATTCCAAGGGAATTGAGTAATATGGTTCTTTTCCTCTTCTGCCCTACCCTCCTGCTGAGTACACACACACACACACACACACACACACACTCTGACATCAGATCAGGGTCTTTGGTTGGTGGTTCAAAGGCTCTGACTTCCTGTAGACAGAGCAGGAGGTTGTTATGAGAAACAGCAACCCCATTGGCCCTGATCCCAGGGACATAGCATCAGCCCCCTGTGTGCTCCCAGACTGCCCGAAGGCTGAAGGCTATAGCATCACGGGGTCCCTGATGTGAGAAGGCTCCCTTACAGACCAAGCCAGGGAGCCCCATTGCAGAGGGGGTGGCTATTTGCAAGGGTCTCATGCCTTGTACATTTTTTCCAAAAAGCAGAATGGGAATTGCAGGCCATAAACCAAAGAGTTGATGTTTTTTCAGAAAATAATCTCACCTTTCCCTGGCAAACCACCTCCAGCCCCCTGACATCCCTGAGTATGAGGCCTGAGTAGAGGGAGTGAAGCCCAGGAGTTCCTCCCCCCTGGTCTTTGGTGTAAACTCATTCCTGGAGCCTGCCCTGAAGTGCACCTCTGATAAACAGGAAGGCATGTGCGCCATCAGTGTCCGTCCCTCACAGAGCATCTGAGACCTGTCTGGGCCATCAAAGCCATCCCCAGCCCCCAGGAGCATTCTGGAGGGGACTCTAGCCCCTCCAGAAACAATTCCCCATTGTGTCCCCCTACTTGGAAATGGCAGATTTGTAAACAGGCCCTTACGTTCAGGCAGATCCTGCTCCGCTTTGTGCTAGTGTGTTGTTTTTTCTTCTCTGAACAATATCCTTTCCAGTAGGGCCAGCCGTTCACACCATTGTCTGAGACCCTTGGACTACAGGAAACAGCACCAGATTCTTATCAGCTGCGGGGGCAGGCAGAGTGAACAGATGAGGTCATGCCCATAAAGCAAGCTGCTGGTCTGCCACATCATTCTTCCATACCTCTATCTATGAGAACGGAGCCCCCGTTGTCCCCCAAACTGGGAAATCTGGGCTTTAAGTCTCTAGTACTGTCTCCTCCATTTGATGGCAGACACCTGGACTCTGCTCTGGGCCCCTTGATTCACTTTGGAATCCTCTCCTGCCTGCGGCTGTGTCCTTGCCCTGGTCTTCCTTCTCTGCACAGTGGGATGTTCTTGGCAGTGAAATATACCCTTGGGATGGGTTAGGTGCACTCCAGTCATTTTCCTCTATAGGGGATAGGAATTAAGACTGGCCTCCTGAGCCATCCTCACAGCAGAGTTCCTGAGTACAAGCTACTAGTTGACTGCTGGAGGCCTAGTGGGAGCATGAGGGTGGGCATCCCTTGCGAGGCCTCCCTAGAGACTGCAGCATTTCCCATCCTCAGTGGAAAATGATTTTTTTTTAATAGGCTACATTGAGGAACCAGAAGTTTCCTTAATGAAAATCCAGCAGGGAAAGTGAAAGGCTCCGTTAGGACACGGCCTCTAGGGAAGGGGGGGCCAGCAGTGGTACCCTCACAAAGGCGGGCTGGGGCTGAGCAGTGGGAAGTGGGCACGGGGCCACTTTCTTCATCTGCTGTGCACCAGGAGGGTGGGTGCGTCCGGAAGAGAAGCCAGGGTGGAGGCCTAACAATCCTTGAGCTCCTTATCAGGTATTATATCCAAACCTAGCCCCACCCATTCATTCTCTCTGCACACCAGGGCCAAGTTTGTAATCTCAGATATCCCCCGGGGATTTGATCTTGCCGTGTGTTGAACTTTCTCCTTGCCAGAGCCCCTTCAGGCTGGGATTTGAGTGAGGTTGGGGTAGATCCTTAACTGGGGTGAAAACTGGTCTATTCCTGAGCAGCTGTCTGCTACTTCTAAGGAGATGTGGCTGATCAGAGACACCTCAGTTTGCTGGACTGCAGAGCCCTGTGAGACCCACTTCACTCCAACCACATCCCGGGTCCTTGCCAGCCCACACAGAGGAAAACCTGGCAGGCGTCAGACTTGCCTCCTGATGGGTGCTGCCTGCCCACTCCTGCAGTCAGGGGATTCTGAGGGTGTCTGAGACCTGACCCTGGCTTAGCAAAGGAGCCCTTTGAGACAGTGAAAACGGTTGTCTTCCTCCCTCATCCTCCCCCACTCTGCCCCTTACCCTTGCTTAGAAACTAGTCTTGTGGACTATAGGACAGCCACAGGCTTGGAGTGAACTCTAACCCTCCACAGAGGACCATGCCAGACACAAGAGGAGCAGGAAGTGGGCTGGGGAGGCAGGCTGGGTGTGACAGGACAGGAGCCAGAGGCAGGGCAGAGTCCAGGTCCCAGGAACAGCATACCGGCGGCTTGGCAGCCATGGGGTGTCAGGTCCTGCTGTGGTACTGGCCATGGGAAACCAAGATGTGTCTATTCCATCTGGGAAGTCAGAGCCTCCAGAGCTTATAGGCTTAGAAGGCAGAGATTAATTAATTAATCTCACATGTAAAGGGAGGGAATTAATCTAACCAGCATTTCCCCCGAAATATGCTCTTCAAAACATTAGAAACATGAAATGGCAGCTGCTCCATGGGGAAAAAAAAGGGGGTGGTTAGAGGACCACATGTTTTGGAAGATCATATACCACAGAGTAGACATGCAAGTTAATGAGGAATCATCGTGGGTTCCTCAGGCAAGCAAGCAGGCAGTGTACGGCTCTGTGGGGCTAAGGGGACAGAAATCTCGTGTTTATCTGAATGTTGTCAAGGATCTCATGAGACAGTTGTTCCAAAGGACACTATTTTGGATGTCATTTGACTAACCCCTTTCTCGAAGACCCTTTCCAGCTCTAGACCTGTTTAAGAAATCATGAAACAGGCCCAAAGACCAGGGGAAGTATAAGACTTAAAGGAAAAATCTGGGAGTGGAAGATAGAGTGAAACCCCTGAGGCAGGAAATAGAGCTCCGGATGGGGGGGTGGGGGGGTGGGGGTGGTGAGGGGCCGAGGGAAGTCCAGGCCCAAGGGGTCTTCAGGGAATGAATGGTGGTGATGTGGGAGCAGAGATACCATGCATCCCAGGGGAGAAGGGGGCTCCCCTCCTATTCACACACCCACCCAGCCCAGCACTTTTCAAATGCTGGTGGTGGCCTGGGGCAGGGCAACAGGGTTTTACTTTCTGTGAGGCCTGGGTGCTTGTGCACAGTCCAAGGGGCAAAAGCAGGGGTCCTGCACTTGGGCCGGGGTTGCAAGATGGGACTAATGACTGATGACTGTTAATTCTACTAGTCCATAGCATGGGTTGAAAGGCCCATCCAAGCAAGGGGCTAGTCTCTGTGGTGACTTGGGGTGATGTCCTTCCCATTTCTAAAGCAACCCTGCCTTTTCCTATCTCCCTCTGGCACCAGTGGAGTCTGCTCTTGGGGCAGGGTCATGATGTCACGGCGGGGAGTGGGGCTGGGGGAGAGGTGCCTCCTACAGCCTGCACAGTAGTTCAGACTCAGGGGCTCCCCCTCCTCTCCCAAAGCTGCAGCTCCCACAGCACAGCCTGGCCCCCCCTACCCCCCCAACCCCTGCCAGCAAGAGCACAGTGGCCTTAATATACCTTGGTATGTGGCTGATGAAGACAGGCGCCAGGCCAAGTGTTGCTGTCACAAAGTCAAGTGTTATTGTGAAAAAGGAGCAGGGCTGCCTACGTGCCAGCTGCCCTTTGCCAGCATTTTTTTTTTCCTGGCTCAACATCTTCCTGAAGTTCCAAGAAGTCTCAGAAGCCCATGGGATGGGATTTTCCTAATTTAATAAGCAATCTCAGCTTCATAGGCAAAGCCCTCTGACTTCTTCCTTCCTCTGATAGCCATCTCCTTGCCTTTTAGAAAAAAACCACCCAGGGTGGGTTTGCCCTTCTGGAATGGACAGGGAAGGCCCCTCATTTACAGCTCACATGAATGGCATCAGTCAATTTAGTACAGAAATACACAGACACAATAATGATATAATTACATGATATAAATATTAGCTTCATCCCTTTCCCTGTAGGATGTGTGGAAAACCCCTGCACTCTCCTCACCAGCGCTCAGGGGCGGTGACGATATAAAAAACAATGGGAATTATGAGAAGTGTGCTTTGAAGACAGAGAAACCACGAGGCCCATCTTGACAGATGAATACAAAAATAGAATTCACACATAGAGGCATTTCCAGGAGTGAATAACACAAGGTACCATGGGGGTGGGGGGGTGGAGATCAGTAGAAGCTGTCCATATTTTCCAAGTGCAGGTGTTCCTTGTCAGGATTTTGAACTCCTCCCTCCATTTTCCAGAGTAACTTCCCCAGGGGACCCAGCCTAGTGGTCACTGAAAAATCCTCGGATACAGGGCAGAGCTGCTTGCAGCTCTGACATCCATGCCTGGGGTTCTGGGCTCTCCCCCTACCCTCTTCCACAGCCTCTGTCTTCTCTTCCCCTCTCCTCCCGCCCCCTCCCCACAGTGCTCCTCCTCTGCTTTTACCTGCTGACATCCCAGCCACAACTACCCCTGGCTGGAGGCTTCCCAAAGTGCTGTCAGGTTAACCTCAGTACACATCTGGTTCACTTACCATGCAAAGAGGGGAAGGGGCCTATTTCAGATCCCAGTTCTCTAGAGGTGGTAGGAACCAGGAGGTGGGGAGTGGAGGTGGGGCTCAGATACAACCCAAGGCAGACACAGTCTGGGTTTGAGTTCAGGGGGGCAGGAAGCCCTGTCTTTTTATGATTTTTTCCCCCTTCCTTCATCGTGGTTCTTAGTGGAGGGAATCTTGAACCTTAGGCCCTTGTCCCCTTCCTGTCCATTTTGTGCGTCACTGACTTGTTCATATGCAGGCTGCGAACAACTTTTCATTTAGTCCTCCTCCTCCTCCATGCTCCCCAGCCCAAGAAACACATTACTGCTGATGGCAAAAACACCTCCCTACACACCCAGACAGAATGTGTCCTGGCTACCTGAGCCAGCAGCACCCCCAAGAACCAGCAGGCCTTAGCAGTTTCCCCCTGCAATTTTCTCCCTTAAAAGAAAAATATAGGCTTCAGGCTTCATAAGTGAACCACCCATGACAAACCCTTATTTAGCAGAAACCAAAGATCCCAGGGTGGGAAACCTCTGGCTGCTGGGCTGACTGATGCCTTCTTGGGGCCTTGAGAATGCCTGCTCCTGGGTCCCGTGGCTGGTCCTAGGATCTCCTGACCTCTCCCCATCTCAGTCCCCTGTGGCCTCCCAAGCAAAGCACTGCCTTTTGTTGTCATCACACAGCTTGCTCACACAGCCGCCACATCCCCACCCTCCCAGGCTGTGCACAAGCTTGCATCGCCCTGGAAAGACAGCCCACTCCTCTAAATACCTCAGCTCCCCTCTCCCTACCTACTAGTCCACAAAGATGAGGGACAGCTTCTCCTAGAATTCACCCGCTCCCTGCTCGTCAGCATGGAGACCCTGACCGTGGGGAGAGGCCATCCCATCAGGAGGGGGTGGGCCTCCCAGGAAACATGCCTGGAGGCAACGGGACCCGGAACAGCGAAGTTAGGCTGGGGGGTTCAGGGAGCTCTAGCAGTCTGTGCTTCTGTGATTTTGAGATGGAGAAGAGGGCGTGAGCAGTGGCAAGCAATCACCAAGACATCACGGCACGAAGTGGGAGGGGGTTCTTGCTGTTCCACCTTCTCAGCGCCTCCACTTTCCCTCCCCACCTCAGTCAGGGTAGGTCTTCTTAGAGGGTGCTAGCTGAGGGGCGACTTCCACCCTCCTCGTCTGCCTGAGGGCCCCCTGCCCAGACACCACCTCAGCCGCACCCACACACCCACTCTAAGGGTCACTCAGAATGGCCATTGTTCTGCAGGCTGGGTAAGAACCACCCAACCCTCTTGCCCCTGGGCACAAGCGGAAATGTGCTGTGGGAGCCTTGCTCGAGAACAAATAGCAAACCCACTGGGGTTGCCAGCAGCCAGAGGGTGTTGACTCCCGCCTGGGACTGAGAGCCCAGAGAGGGGACAAGGAACAGGCCTGGGACACAGGGCCCTCCATCAGGCCCCAGCCTATCTTGCGGGTGGCCCGGTAGGGGCCCCGGGACAGAGATTCTACCTCTAAGAGGCCATCAGGCACGTTAGCCCCCTCTGCCCTCACTGGGTGGGTGGGAGATGCTGGGGGCTGCTGCTGGCCACTCGGCCCATCCCAACCACCCCCTCCTCCTCCCTCCTCTGTGTGGCCTCATACCTCCCGGGGTGTCCGATTGCGCTCGGCCTGCACCCGGCTCTTCACCTTCTTGCCCAGCTCCAGCCCCACCCAGCTCTTGCCCTTGGCCTGTTTGCCACGGCTGCGGCTGCGGGAGGGGCACCACACTCGCTCACAGTACTCATCTACCCGGGGCAGGTTGGCGAAGCCAATGAGCTGCATGATGTCCTTATACCAGGCCTTGTGGGGGGAGGAGGCGGGGCCGCCTCGGGCTGTGGGCTCCTCTGGCCTCAGCTCCCGGGGAAACAGAATGTCCAGCTGTGCAGGCACGATCACCTCCAGAGCCAGGCGGACCACCAGCTGGGAGAAGCCGTGCTCCAGAGTCATGCAAGTATAGGTGCCGGCATCCAGGCGGTTGAGCCTGCGGAACAGCAGCCCCTGCCCTGTTTGCAGGACGCGCTCGTCTGTCTTCACCTGCTGGAGGTGTGGGAGGGCATGAGGGCGCCTGGAGCAGCGCTTGCCCCATCAACGTCTCTGCCCCTTGCTTTTCCACATTTGCCATCTCAGGGCTCATTCTCCCCTTCCCAGCAGCCTGGCAGGCTCAGCGTCCTTGACTGAAGTAACTGCTGGCAGGGCCTCACTTTCCCAGAACCCAGGACAGGGCCTGCAAAGGGGGCTTCTCAAAGATTTAATTGACTGGTTTCTCCTGTCGTCAGAGCTCTGGAGCCCCCATCTTGGCCTTGGGGGCCCCTCGCACACATTCCCAGAGAACAGAGAGGGTTAATGGGTGTTTATGGGCTTTTTCTCAAGTCGGGGCTATACCCCCAGCCCCAGGACTAGAACTCCTCTACACTCGACACCGTACAGAGCTCTCCCTGTCTTGGTCTGCATTGTTCACTCCCCCTACATTGCAGGACCCACAGGCCCATCACAGTGTAAGAGGTAGAGCATGGTCCTGATCTGACCTGTCTTTGGCCTGGACCCTGTCTGGGCTTTGGTCCGCACGTGTGTACATTGAGGCTGCAGTGCTTGGGTGGTGAGTGTTGTGTAACTCATCTCATCGCTCCCCTGCCCCTGCCCTCCCGGGGAGACTTCTCAGTGCCCAGCCCAACAGCTGGCCCAAGGCTGGCCTCCCCCAGTTCTCAAGCTGGGAGGAGAGCCCCTCCTGTAATCAACCCACTCCCTCCCCTTCCCTATCCGTGGGAGCAGCTTGAGAATGGTTCTTCACCCTGCCCCGCCCACGCCCAAGCTCAGGCCCCAGACTGAAGCCATCTCTGGGGTTGACAGACTTTTCTGGATGGGGGAGGAGAGGGCCTAGGCAGACAGCTGGACTCTAGGGAGGAAGTGAGGGGCCAGGCAGTGTGTGCTTGTGTGTGTGTGTATGAGTGTGTATGTGTGTGTGGTGGAGGTGTGTGTGCAAGGGCCAGTCGTCAGGGGCCCAGGCCTCCTAGGGTGAAAGAGGACCCTGAGGAAGAGACCGCTTCCAAGATGAGCCATATGTGTAAGCATGGGGACCTTCCTGACCAGCCCAGACCCGCTTCCCTCTCTGCCATCTCTGCTATGCCCTGTCAGACAGAGCCCAGCCCAGTGCCTTGGAATTTGTGGGCTGTCTGTCACTGGAAAAGTTCCACCACATCTGGCCTGGGTGTTCCCAGATGGCAGGAGCAGGGGCACCTCCAGGGGCCTGATACACACTTTTCTTAAGTTGATCTTGGCAGGGTCCCCCCAAGAGCTCAGGGAGGGGTGTGACCTAGGACACATGCAGGCCGGAGCCAGGTCCTCACTCACCTGCTCAGGCCTCTCGTCCCCGGGCCGCTGCAAGAACCAACGCACGGCAGCCTGCGGGGACTTGGGCAGGCACTCCAGGAAGGTGCTGTTGTGCTCCGTCCCGTAGACAGTGTTGGTCACCACGAGTCCCGCAGTCTCCTCTGGGGGAGATTTGGAAGTGGGCTCAGCTCGGGAACTATGAGACCCCCAGGACCACCAACTGACTCCCATAACCCAGGACCCCCCATGAATGTGACAGGGACTAGGCATCTACTGATCTCTAAGCCCTTCTCTCTACACAAAGACCCTGCACCCATATGCTGACAGGAGTTACACACATAGAGAAACTGAGGACTGCTTGTGACTACAGGACCAGCCTGAGGCCACACTTCACAGGGGTGACTGGCTGCCCTGTGAGAGGGCACCCCCATGCCCTTCGCGGCTCACCCTCCTGGCTCTGGCCCAGGCACTGCAGGGCAGGGTTGCCATGCCGGATGTCCTGGCGGCGGAACCGGCGCTTGCTGGTGCCAGGCCGGTAGCGGGTGCAGGAGGCACCGTCCCAGGCGCAGTAGGGGTCCCGGGCCAGGCAGCACTCCGCGCAGGCACTGCCGTACGTCTCACACTGGTGCAGCCGCAGCCGGGCCACGCCCAGCCTTGAGCCCACGTACAGCATTTGCTGGAAGGGACACAGGCAGATCCCAAGGTGAGCGTGTGCTCCACACAGAAGCAGCTAGGCTCTCAGCCCCCTGGGCGCTCCTGAGACCCCTGACATTTGCAAGAGTCTTCCAGAACCTCTTGAGTGCATTCCCAGAACAAAATATGTTTATCACCCTCCTGATCTGCATCGGATCCTATGCTAGGGCATGGAGGAGATGGGGCACATCCGGGGTCTTTTCTCTGCGGGGCTTCGCCTCTGGCTTTAGAGGTGAACTCTGCCTTGAGCAGTCCTAGCACAAAAGTCGAGGTTTACCCAAAGATAAACTGGGGCAGATGAACTTGTGGAGATTTTGCTACTTGCAAAAGGACACACAGCATGTCTCTAAAATCTGTTTGATGTAAAATCTGGATCCTGTTTTCAAGCACATTTTTGTTTGCCCTGAGTTGCTGGACTTTCTGGATCTCCCCTTATCTGAACATAGGCTCACTTACTCAGGGCCTCCCACTGCCCATGGGTTTCGTGCATGGGAATCTCAGCTCCCAGCTGAACTCTCAACCCTCATTGCAGGGCCTAATCAGGCAGCCCCAGGGCCTACTGGGAAACAGCAGGACTCAGGGAAACTTAAGGAGACCAGAGAAAGGAGGATTTGGCAGCCACGGCAGTGACTCTTACCCTTTTGACGGAGATCTCCATCTCAGTGATGGGTGTTGGCACCTGGGAAAGAAGCAAGACCTCCTCTGCATCCCTGCTTTCAGCCTCTTCCAGCTTCTGGGTGGAAGCCATCTTTCTCCCAGGTCAGTGCACTCCCTGGCAACTAAGGCCAGACGGTCTTTCCCACACATCGTGTTGTTAGAAAGGTCCCCTCTCCCTGGCTGGCCTCCAAGGCTTGGCTAAAAGCACAAAGCTCTGGTGTCCCCTCCCACAGCCCTGTCCCCCAGCAATGAGGCAGCTGTCCCAAATCACCCATTCCACCCACTTGGGGAAGCTCAGCAGTTCCCCAAATACAGATGACCCCCTGCCTGACTCTGTAGAGGGGTCAACAGAACCCCTTGGGGTGTCAGTCACCCCTCACTGCAACTTGAGCCTGGCAGACCTTTGTCAAGGGGCGATCGCCTTGGCCATCTGTCCCTGGGCCCCCCACCTCTCAGCTCACAGATTCCGTCTCCAGGCCCACAGTCATTTAGAAGCATCACAAGGCTCCTGCAATAGTGAGGCCCACTGCCCACTGAATGCAGGTTCAGTAAAGACAGGCCCATTTCCCTCCTGCACTTTGCTCCTGCTTCCTTGTAGCCAGTCCTAGACACAGGGATGGAGCCTGCGGGAACCCTCCCCATCAGTGCCCCCTGCTCACCTTAAACACCTGGAGCTCTTCCAGAACTACCTCCTCAGGCTCCGCAGAGCCCCCCGCCTGGAGGGCAATGACCTTGAGCACAGACCCTGAGTCTGGGGCAGGGAGGAGGGGTCAGTGGGAAAGGAAGGAGCAGAGGGGCAGCTCGGGGTCCCCGCACGCCTCCCCTGCCCAGCCACCCCATGCAGCCTGCCTACCAGTCCCCAGAAACATGACGTCATAGGTCCCATCCTCTGCCTCCACACGGTCCACCACGATCTGACGTAGCTGCTGGGCCAGGTGGGTTTTGACAAGGACAGGGCGACCCCGCCGGGGACGCACGGGCCGGAACATGAGTGGGTGGGCTCGGGCAAACTGCAGCACGTCATCCGGGTAGTCCTTGGTGCTGCCAAAGGGTCGTCCTGGCTGTGCAGTCATCTTGCTGGGGCACTGCAGGCCATGGCAGAGGGAGTGCCTGAAGCCCCCTGGGTTGCCACATCCCCCCCCAGTCTGTGTCTAGACGCCACTGGCTGTTCACACCAGCCTCCGAGGGACAGCTCATGGGCGCTTCATGCTGTATGAGAGACTCCTCAGTGTAGTCAGGGGTCTGCTCCCCTCCTCACCCCACCCAGCCCAGCCGCTGCCCTGGGGCTTCGTGCAGACCCAAGCCTGTCCTTGGCATCTAGAGCCCCTCCCAGCATCTACTCAGCCCTCTTCCCTGCCCTGGTCCCAGGCAGATATTCACCATGCCAGGACGTGGAAAGGGCACCTTGCCCCCATAGGGCCCCCACTGGTGCTGGGGACCATCTTGGTGGGCAAAGGGCCCCTTGAAGACCTCCCAGATATCAGCCATGTGGTACACACAGACGGCATAGCCCTGGAACACAGCACTGCAGGGGACAGACAGGAATAGTCAGGCCAGGGAGGTTCACAGAGGCAGGAAGGGGGCAGCCTAGTTCCATAGGGAGGACAGAGGATGATGGTTCCTGCAGTCAGCAGAGACCGAAAGACAAGGACACCCAGGCAAAGAATACAGCCACGGAGTCACGGAGTCAGGGACAGAGTCAGGGACCCCTGGCTAGACTGGGCCGTGAGAGCAGGGGCTCAACAGAGGCGCTCAGGGTGCAGAGACAGGGCCAGGGGTGGGGGTGAGGGGAGGCCATCTGCCCACCTGACGGCGCTGAAGAGAGCGTACACCTCCAGGCTCTTCCCTGAGTTGGGCCACAGCAGGAACACGTCCTCTGGAGACAGAAGGCCACCGCCAGTGCCCCCCCACTCGCGGGCTCTGAGCCCCCTCCAGCCCTCACCCCACGTGCTCTGGCCATGTCCTTACCCAGCTGGTCGAAGTGGGTCTCGGCACCGCCAGGGCCAGGCACGGAGCAGAGCAGCCTGGCCTTGAGGAAGGTGCTCCATTTGTTCACCAGCACCCGCTGGCCACCCGCATCATTCTGGAGGTGGGGGCCAGTCAGCCTTGGGGCCCGAGGACAGGCCCCCCGCTTCCTGCTCCTCCACCCTCACCCTTGGAAGGAGGCGTGGATGTCAGCCCCACACCCTTGCCTCAGTTCGCCTACTGTTTCAGGTGGGGACAGGGCTGGGAAGACACATATGGCCAGGATTCAAACCTCACTGTCCCTTCCACAGCTCTCACCACGCAGACGCGGCCCACTCGGCTGACGGTGACACGGCCCGGGCCTCCGTCAGGCGAGGGGACCGTCTCCGAGAAGAAGAAGTACACTTTGTCATCATCCGGGTCGGAGTTGTCAGGGATCCGGGCGGCCAACACAAACCTGGGGTCTGGGAGGTAATAGGGAGGAGTTAGTAGGGCCCTCACGGGGAGGAACAGGGCAGGGGTGAACCAATGAGGAGGAGAAGAGGCACAGGGACCCCAGGGACCCCACTGGGTCTTAGGGAGTAGAGCGGGGATGGGCTGCCCCTCCGGTCCCCACTCCCACCTCCCTGTCAGTGCCAGGGGCAGAACCCAGTTAGCCTTGCCCTTCGCAGAGCCCTGAGCTCACCATGCAGGAGGTTCTGGTCAGAGTCAGAACGCAAGGCTGGTCGGGGACCCCCAGTCCGGAAGATCATGGCCTCATGCCCCAGGAAATCGGCGTTGAGGCCTGTGTACAGCTCCCCTCCTAGGGTGGGGGTAGGGGGCAGAGTCAGGGGAGGAGGGCCAGTCCCTGAACCCGGCCCATCCCTTCCCAATGATGCTGGCCAACCCCCACCCTTGTCATGCCGGCCGTGGCCTGGGTGTCACCCACCTACAAAGGTGCTGGCAAAGGGGCGGCTGGGCTCGTGTGGGCATCTCCCCCTCCCACTTTCCACGCTTCGGGGCTCCAGATGGAGCACATGCTGGGGAGAGGGAGGGAGGGAGAGGTGTTACCTGGGAAAACAGTGCCCGCCCCCTACCCAGGCAGCAGCCATTGCGTGCGGCTGGACAGTGGGGGTGGGTGGAAGGCGCCCTCATTCAGGACCTCGCCAGTAGGGGTGGCTCCCTGGCACAAAGGCGCCTTTCAGGCTCTGACCCCTCTGCCCTGACCCAGGCTTAATGGGTAGAATTCAGACAGCAGAAGAAAATGTCACGGCTTCCCAGCCCTTTGTGGGCCGCTGCAGCTCACCTCTCCACGATGCCCAACAGCAAGGAGGGCACAGGTGGGCTGGAAGGCGCCAGTGCCACACGCCAGCAGGTGGGTCCGGTTGTGGGGGTGCAGCACCCGTATAAAGTTGGCGCACTCCACCTAGGGGGAGAAGGGGTGGGGGGATGGATCTAGGGTGAGGGGAGATTCTACTAGACCATCAAGATCTGCTCCATGTGGCCCCAGCTCAGGCACCTGGGGAGCAGCCCCAGGCTTTCCTGGGGTCAGGGCCTGGGTGCTGGTCAGGGTGGGGGCAGTCCCTCCTGATAGCACTCACCAAAGGATCTCTTCCCTTGCGAACGCACTCCTCTCTCTGTCCAGGCTGCGGTGGCCACAGGACCTGAAACACAGCCAGCCTGGCTGACCCCTGACCTCACAGCCTCAGTTGCCCCAGTCAGCCTCCCATTTGGAGTCACCTAGCCCTCAGAGAGAGTTGCTTCCCAAACAGTCCAGCTCACCTCCCGGGGATCCGGCCATGTCTGGTCCAACCTCAGAGAGTAGATGGCATCACGGCCCCCCAGAAACAGGCGGTCCCGGTACTCGTCTAGGTACAGGGCCCGAAGGTCCAGGGAGCCCCGGGGGCCCAGAAAGATGGCAGAGCGGTTGGCAGACAGGAGGTCTAGGAGGGAGCCGAGGGAGGGGTTCAGGGCTGCTGCTCATCCACTCCTCCAGCCAGTGCGTGGAGGTGGAGGGTCCCAGCTGTGCATCTACTGCCCCCCACATGCTCACATCTGGAAAGTGTTTCCATCCAGAGGGCTGCTGGAGGGCTTCTGGGAAGTGACTCCTGGGAGTGGGTGGGACAGGGGACTCGGAGCCCCCCACCCAGCCCAGGCCACCCAGAGGTCTGCCCCCTTTCCCTCCACTCCATGGCCCCCTGGTCTTCAGTTAACATCTCCTTCCCCCGGCCCATCTGTGCTCTACCGGCTCCTCAAGGAAGATGGCCCCACCAACAGAACTTAAGGCTGCAAGCTGGGTGAAGTGCTGGGAGAGCCTGGTGGAAGGTTCGGTGGTCTGAGCAGCATACAAAGCTGACTCAGTGGGACAGACAGACAGGGGAGAGCGTTCCCAGCAGAGGGAGCATCTGCCTAAGGCCTGGGTGTGGGAGAGGCCAGGTACGGCCAGGTGGATCTCTAGGCTCTGGTCCAAGGATATGACTAAAGAGGGTTTTCTCCTCCATAGACGCTGCCTACCCAGGAATGGAGGTGGCTGTCTGCGGATGATGATCCCAGGAGGTGGGAGTCCTGAAATAGGTCTTTGGGGTCCAACTAGGTAGCTGGAGGACATGGGTGTGAGAAAAAACAGCAGGATGTCTGGCCACCCTTGAGGAGGTGGGATACCCAAGCCTGACCCAAAGGTCATCTTTTCTATCCCCAAACTCATTAACAGCCTCTTCCAGGAAGCCTTCCATGACTGACAGTACTTTGGAATAGATATGCCCTATTTGGACCTTATCTTGTAGCCTGACTTCCCCAAAGCCACAGCTCCCAGGGCAGGACCCCATTCCACCCCCTCCTCCCCACCCTCACCGCACTCCCTTCAGACTCCAGAGTGGAGCCAGGTCCCCCGCCCCTCAACTCTCCAGAGAAGGCCTGAGTCTTGCCCCTTGGGCTGGGGTTCCTGGGGGAAGGTGACCATCCCTCTGGTTTCCCCAGAAAGAAAACTCTGTGGCAAGCCTGTGTCTCATCAGACTCAGAAGAGGCTTGTGCCAGCTGCAGCACAACAATCCAGGTTAGATCTGCAAAGGAACCGCCTGGACCAGGATGGGCAAGGAAGGGAAGCGACACAGAGCCTCACAGATGGAGGGGAAGAGGAAAGGCCAGCGTTACAAAGTGGGCTGCCAGGGGTAGGAGTGGGAACAGGGCTGTGGGGATCGGCTGAGGGGCCCCACTGCAGGGCGCACGGGACGAGAGGGACAGGATTCTGCCCTCTTCCCCACTGTCTGCCCTGGGCAAGGAGCCCAGCTGAGAGCAGCCAGATTCTCCAGACTTGCCCTCTCTGCCCCCTCCCCATTTCTCTCTGCCATTCTCCGCTGAGGTCCCTCTCCTTTTCTCAACAGCCCCCTCACTCAGATTCTCCCCCAGTGTGTCTCTGTCTCCCACTTCCACCCTGGTCCCATCTGCCAGGATTGGTCTCCCCTCCCTCCCCCTGCCTTCCTCCCAGGAGCCTCTGGCGGCCAGCAGGGAGCACATGGCCGGGAATAACTGTAAAGTCCTTCCCGCCGGCTGTGCTAGGAGTGGCTGAATCCCTCCTCCGGCTGGCAGAGCAGAGTGCCTGGGGCAGGCTAGAGGCCCACACCTGGGGTATAGCAGGGTCAGGGGCTGCATGGACACACACACAGAGTGCACTGCCCTACCTCGGAAGGAGAGCCGCAGGCGGGGCACGCTGGGGCCTGGGCTGGGACTGCCCCCCCGGAGGAGGAGGCCCCCCAGGAGGCAGCAGACAGCCCAGGCTGAAGGGGCCATGCTGAGGAATGGGGGCACCGAGCCGCTTGCAGAGCTGCCCTGGGTCCCGCCGCTGCTGCTGGTTGTAGTCTGCTCAGTTGCCGCCAGGCCTGCTTCTGCTACTTATAAAGCAGCGGCTCCACCCCGTCCAAGGCGGGGAGGAGGGAGGGGTCAAGTGCCCTGCCATCCACCTGCCGCCTCTCCCTCCGCCTCAGCTGGCCCAGTTGGTGGCTCTGTGTCAGAATAGCTGGTTCTCCATTTGGGAGACTTTTGGTCTGGCCAGGCTATGGATGGTTTATATGGAGTTGTCCATAAACCCAAGTCCCTCGGTTCTAGCAAAATGTCAAGGGGGAGAGATGGCCTGAAAGGAAGATCAGAGGTTGATGGGCTGGGTGGGTGGTCTAGCTGGGCTCTCGTTTGCTCCTTGCCCCTCCACTGCCCATGACTGAGACCCACCCCCCACAGGCTGATTCTGTGCCCAGGTCCCTGACACCAAGAGTCCAGCCCCCTGAAGCCTTGGCCTGGCTCCCCAGCTCCCCTGGCAGGGCCCAGGTTGCCTAGGGATACTCATTCCAGCCAAGGGACTCTGTGCTTTGGAAGAGAACTTGAGGTCTGGCCACACTTTACAGATCTGAAATTGGCAACAGATGAATGGCCAGACTTCTCCACCCAGGCCTATTCCTGTCTGGCCTCCAGGCCCCACATCCCATTTCACTGGGGCAGGGAACAGGATTCACTTGTGCCAGAGAAGCCCTCATTGCCCCACCTCCCTCCTCCAGTTCTCCCAGAGCCCCAGGGCCCAGAGCATCACCAGTTGAGTGGTGGGTTCTTCCCAGAGTTCCCTTCTGCCTGTAGGCCCTATATCTATGGTTCTTCAGGAGTTAAGGTAGAGGGAGGGTGCTCATGCCCCCATTCCCTCTGCTCTGAGCGCTGATCCAGGGGACAGGAGAGTCACAGAATGGCGACAAGAGGGGAGATGAGGCTGAGAGGCTGAATAAGGACACTCGAGGAGACTCCCCATACATCCCCTCAACAGTAGTCCCTGTCTCCACCCTCCACAGCTGCCACTCCACCCAATTCCAGACCCCTACACTCAGAATCTGAAGCCTTGGGTGCTAAGATTTCAACCTTGAGCCAGAATCCTGGTGCTCCCAGGATTCTAGAAACTTTTGTAAGTTAGGCCTCCTGGAGAGACCAGCCTGAACCCTCAAATGGCATCAGAGAATGAAAGAGGTGGTCCAGGCCACATAGCAGACTGAGAACAGGACTTGCTCTATCCTGCCCCTTCCTGAAACCCCCCCCCCCTTTTTTTGCTCCTAAATGTACTGGGACCCCACCTCCCTTTCTAGCTCATTTCTCAAAGGGAAATAGATCAATCTCTCTCTCTCTCTCTCTCTCTCTCTCTCTCTCTCTCTCTTTTAATTTTGGAAACAAATCAGTCTCTTGAGTCAATATGAGAAGGACCAAGGGACCTGGAAACCTGTCTCCCTGTCCCCATCTCCTCTAGAAATATATGTGCCCCCTGGACTTGGGATTGATCAAGGGTCTACTCAGGGAGACCATCCTGCCTCTGGATCCCCTGAAGAACTTTGGGCAAGGCCTTTCCCTCTCTGGGTCTCAGTCTCCTCCTTCCAGAGCCAGGGACCAGCCACCTTAAGGGTACCAGGCTCTATAAACTGGTGAGAGGTGCTTGTGCAGTGGCTGCCATGATGGTGGTCATATCCTGGGTCCTTGGAAGGGTGGAGCCCCTCTGCATCCATCTCCCTGGGGAGATGTTTCAGCCTGTAACCCAGGCCAGGGGCCAATGTCTAGCTGGAGATTGAGCTGGACAGCCCCTCAACCAGCATGTGGCCACCAGCTGTGGGTGGGAAGCCCAACAACTCAGCCTGCCAGCTCACCCTGGGGATCTAAGCTCAGCCAGGCCCCCAGCTGTGACTGCAGGGGAGGCCTGAGTTTACTTGAGCAGGATGTGGGGGCAGCCCATTCCACACTGCAGAAAAGCAGCCCGTGGCAGGGGCTGAACTTGTGTGGCCTCACCAGGTCCTCTTCCTCTCTGGGCCTGGTTCCCAGTCTAGGAAGGGGGGTAAGGATCTTCTGTAAAGTTCTCTGCTTGCAGGGAATTCCCTGGCGGTCTAGTGGTTAGGACCCTGTACTTTCATTGCTGAGGGCCTGAGTTCAATCCCTGGTCCAGGAACTAAGATCCCACAAGTTGTGTGGCACGGCCAAACAAAACAAAACAAATTTTAGATCTTCACTTGCAGGCTTCAGGTAAAAAAAAAGACCCCAAGGGTGCCCTTGATGTCTGGGATCAATGGGCCCAGCCACAGACATCTTGTGCCATCTAATGGACAAAGTCAGAACTGCAAGGAGGTCCAAAGGCTGCCGGCTGGGTCGGGCCCTGGATGGGCAGCAGGGCCACCAGCAGAAACTACAGCCTCTTGACACGGCACACAGTAAGTAACCAGGCAACCTTAATATGAAGAGGCAGGGGCAGGGGGAGATGCGCCAGTGATTGCTTCTTGTTAAAATGTTTTAAAATTTACTTGTTTATTATTATTTTTTCCTAAGTATAGCCAATCTACAATATCATGTTAGTTTCAGGTATACGGCAGAGTGATTTGCATATATATGTATATACACACATATATAGATATATCCTTTTTCAGATTATTTTCCATTATAGCTTAGTACATGATGTTGAATATAGTTCCCTGTGCTATACAGTACACCATTTTTATCTATTTTATATACAGTAGTGTGTATCTGTTCATCCCATACTCCTTATTTATTTCTCCCCCTCTTTTCTTCCATTGGTGACCATAACTTTGTTTTCTGTGTCTGTGAGTCTTTCTGTTTTGTAAGTAAGTTCCGTTGTATTATATTTTAGATTCCACATATAAGTGATATCATTTATATTTGACTTTCTCTGTCTGACTTACTTCCCTTAGTCTGATCATCTCTAGGTCCACCCAGTGTTGCACAAGTGGCAATATTTCACTCTTTTTTTATGGCTGAGTGATATTCCACTGTGTGTGTATGTACATTTGTTGTTATTTACTTGCTAAGTCACATCCAATTCTTTTGCGACCCCATGGACTATAGCCCACCAGTCTCCTCTGTCCTTGGGATTTCCTAGGCAAGAATATTGGGAGTGAGTTGCCATTTCCTTCTCTAGGGGATCTTCCTGACCCAGGGATCAAATGTGCATCTCTTGTGTCTCCTGCGTTGGCAGGTGGATTCTTTACTACTGTGCCACCTGGGAAGCTGTGAACATGGGGTCCACGTATCTTTTTGAATTAGGGTTTTCATCTTTTCTGGATATGTGCCCAGGAGTGGGATTGCTGGATCGTACAGTAACTCTATTTTTCATTTTTTAATGAACTTTCATGATGTTTTCCATAGTGGCTACACCTATTTACATTTCCACCAACAGTGTAGATGGGTTCCCTTTTCTCCACACCGTCTCCAGCATTTATTCTTTGTACACTTTAAGAACTTTTTAATTAGAGAATAGTTGATTTACAGTGTTGTTAGTTTCAGCTGTACAGCAAAATGAATGTTATATGTATGTCCACTCTTTTTAGTTTCTTTTCACATATAGGTCATTATAGAGTATTGAGAAGAGTTCACTGTGCTATGCAGTAGGTCCTTCCTAGTTACTTATTTTACCCTCCCTCCACCCCTTGCTTTCCTCTGGTAACCATAAGCTTGTTTTCTACATGTATAACTGTATTTCTGTTTTGCAAATAAGCTTGTTCGTACCATTTTAATTTTTTAAATATTTGTTTTTATTTATTTATTTGGCTGTGCCAGGTCTCAGTTGTGGCATTCGGGATCTTCCATCTTCATTGTGGTATGTGGGACCTTTAGTTGCAGCGTATGAACTTTTAGTTGCAGAACGTGGGATCATGTTCCTGACCAGGGGTCATACCCAGGCCCCCTGCATTGGGAGAGCAGAATCTTAACCACCAGGGAAGTCCCTGAACCATTTTTTTTAGATTCCACCTACAAGCGATATCGTATGATACTTGTCTCTGTATGACTTCACTCAGGATGACAATCTCTGTGTCCATCCATGTTGCTGCAGATGGCATTGTTTCATTCTTTTTATGGCTGAGTAGCATTCCATTGTACATATGTACCACTATTTGTAGACATTTTGATGATGGCCATTCTGACTGGTGTAAGGGGGTACCTCATTGCAGTTCTGATTTTCATTTCTCTAATAATTAGTGATGTTTTGCATCTTTTTATGTGCCTGTTGGCTATCTGTATGTCTCTTTTGGAGAAATGTCTATTTAGGTCTTCTGGTCATTTTTTGATGGGGTTGTTTTTTGATACTGAGTTGTATGAACTGTTTATATACTCTAGAAATTAAGCCCTTGTCAGTCAGTCATGTTATTTGCAAATGTTTTCCCCCACTCCATAGGTTGTCATTTTGTTTTGTTTACAGTTTCATTTACTGTGCAAAAGCTTAAAAGTTTGATTGGGTCCCATTTGTTTATTTTTGCTTTTATTTTCTTTGGAGACTGATCTGAGAAAATATTGCTACGATTTATGTCAGAGAAGAGGCTTCCCAGGTGGCTTGGTGGTAAAGAATCCGCCTGCAGTGCAGAAACTGCAGGTTCAATCCCTGGGTCAGTAAGACCCCTAGAGGAGAGCATGGCAGTCCACTCCAGTATTCTTGCCTGGAGAATTTCATGGACAGAGGAGCCTGATGGGCTACAGTCCATGGGGTCACAAAGAGTCAGACACAACTGAAGCAACTTAGCACAGCACAGCATGTCAGAGATTGTGTTCCCTGTGTTCTAGGAGTTTCACTGTGGCATGTCTTATTTTTAAGTCTTTAGGCCATTTTGAGTTTATTGTGGTGTATGGTGTAAAGGAGTGTTCTAACTTCATTGATTTACATGCATCCAGCGCTTGCTTCTGATGGAGGAAGTCAAAGGAGGCTTCATGGAGGAAGCATTATCTAGGCAAATGATGACATAGCCCAAAAGAAATGGAGAGGACTGAACAAAGCAACGTGGTCAGAACTGGGGGATGCATGTGGGGGAGTGCAGCAGCATGTACTAATGGCAGCTTGTCAGCTTGTGCGCAACACGTAGATGTGTGAGGTGTAGTGTGATGCGCCATGTGCCCCCAGGTGGGTTTATAAAGCATTGCAGCCCAGCTTCTCCCAGCTAGAATTCTGTGGTGGACATACCTGGAAAGATTGGATGCCCTTAGTACTTCCTCCACCAAAACCTCATTCTGGAACACAGATAACGGGAAAATCTCACAGAACTTCCTACCTGTGGACCCCTTCTCTTTTTTGCTGGCCATGGCCCATGGCATGTGGGATCTAGTTCCCTGACCAAGGATTGAACTCTTGCCCCCTGCATTAGAAACATGGAGTCTTAACCCCTGTGCCACCAGGGAGGTCCCTGTGGATCCCTCCTTTAAGGCACCATCCAGCAGCCCCCTTGTACCCTCTTTGTAGCTGGCCCAGTCATCCTCCTAGTTTGTTCACAGAGGGCTCAACTCGGAATTTTCCTCCCCTCCTTTGCTTATACCATCAGCATCCCACATCCCCTGGGAGTCCCAAGCCTATGGTCCTTGTCCCCCTCCCCCGCCTCAGTTACCCATCCTCCAAGTTATCACCAGTGAGGATGTGACCTTCAGTGTCTCCATTCAGAACATTCCTCTTCTGATTCCACCTCCTGCTCAGCATCCCTGCTGCCACGATTCTTTCCTCCCTTCCTCAAGCTTCTTCTCCCTTCTTGCTCAGCTTGGATCCAGTCCCAGAGCTATAAAAGGCCCTTGACACACTCCTAGAGACCCTTGCCCTCTGAAGCTCTGCCCCTGCATCTTGCTTCACTCCTTTCCCAGCTTCACTAGGTTGCTCCCATGAGCATATTGGTCATTCCCTAACCCACCTCCTTAAATGAGCTTCCCTGGACTTTACATCTCCCTTCAGCTCCAGCTCATCTCTCTGTTCCCTGAGTCTTTGCAAAACATCACCAGTATTGTCCACACTTGCCCTCTCCCCTTTACCTTGCCTCATTCCCTTTGCCCTTTGTAGTTGAGCTCCCATCCCACTATTCCAGTAAAACCCTTGTGTCCAGGTGGCCAAGCCCTCGGGGCCTCCAAGTTCCCTAGCTCCAGAGCCATCAGCTGTCTTCAATGCCTCCTTCCTTCCCTCCTGGGTCCTTGGGCCCCTCGCTCACCCAGGGTCTCTCCCACCCCACCAGCCACATCCCCTCTCCAATCCCCATTTTGCACTCTGCTGGTTTCCTCACTGTACTCATCTCTTCTTTGTCTTCCTGAGTTTACTATAAATTCCACAAAATTAGGGACTGGGCCTCCCTCTGAAAGGTCCCAGTGTTCAGCCAGTCCTAGACACATAGAAGGGGTCTGACTAAACCCTGGAATGGTACGCAGGCTGGTGGGGCCACCCACTGTCACCCTGCCTCCTATCCTGAATGTCATTCCTGGGTGTACATGTAGGTCCTTCAGTTTTCCAGCTCCCGAGGGCAGGATGGAGGGGACCCGTCTCCTCTCCCCGATCTCTCCAGGGGCCAGGCAGCTCCCACCAGCTCTGGCCTCCACTGAGGCATCTTCAGAATTCCAAGCCCGTCTCTGGAATGCTGGGCCTGTCTGGAGAATGCCAAGGCTGGGGCACAGGTGGGGAGGCTGTGGAGTGGCTGGGCGGAGCACGACAGCTGCTGACATTCTCCCTGGAGCCTAGGCACTGTGGCAGCTGTCCCTCTGGTAAGCACCACTGCTGACACCTCGCTTCCCTGTGGTCCCCCATCTCCCGGAGGCCAGTCTCACTGTTCTGCCTGTAGCTCTGGCCTGGGTACCCCCAGGCAGCTGCGAGTCACCAGGCCCCATGCCTCCACTCCCTGACAGGGAGTGAAAGTGGGTGCTGGAGTCATGAGGCTCACAGGAACTGGGAGTCCTGCCCATCAGGACCTGTTCATCAGAGTCCTCGGCTGGGAGCCAGGTGGCTCTGCTCTCCCCAGACTCACAGGATGACCCTGACAGGCGCCTTACTGAGCCTCCCCGGGTGCCAGGGTCCTTACCTGTCAAGTGAGTGAGGGGACGTAGAGTAGACAATATGCCCCTGGGTCCAGGGAGTCAACATTGCCAGCAGGAAATCCAAGTGAATGAGCAGGTGGACTGGAGCCCTGGGCCTGAGGACCCCCCCAGTGCCCTGCTGCCCCCAACCAGACGTGAGAAGGAGCCATGGCTGCTTTGCCAAGTGGCATCTGGGGCCTGGCCCGCTGCTGAGTGGCCTCTCCGAGTATAGGACCCTTCGGCTGCCAACTGGCTGACTAAAGCCATGGCCCCCAGGGGCCTGTGAAACTCAGATTCCTGGGCCACCACAGACTCCAGATGTGGAACTGCTGGAGATGGAGCCTGGGCACCAGCAGCTCTAGAAAGGAGCCAGGTGGGTATGGAGCATGGTGGTCTCTGAGCAGTAGAAGGTGGGGTGCAAGGGTGGTGAGAGCATGGGTTCTGGATCAGGGCAAGAGAGGCCACTGGTGAAGATGGGGGAATGAAAGCTGGACACCAGGCCTCCAGGAGCACGGTTTTATTGGCATTTCCTAGGACAGTGCTGAGGGAGGTAGTCATGGAGGGCCCATCGTCAAGGACACACCCGAGTTCACATCCTGGGGACCCTGGCCCTCTGCCCGCAGTCCCGGGGCCCAGCTGGAGCTGGAAGGTGGCACAGGCAGCTCTGGGTGAAGGTTGGCCTCTACTCCACCCCCTTCATGAACTCCAGGAACTCTGCGGAGAGACGGACAGGCATAGGTCAGATGTGGGGCCTGGGCAGGGCGTGGGCAGGGGGATTCAGATGGACCCACTCACCATCGTAGTCAATGCGGCCATCGTTGTTTTTGTCACCGTCCTTCATGAGCTCCTCAATGTCGTCCTCTGTGATGGTCTCACCTGTAGCCTGAAGCATTATCTTCAGCTCCTCCAGGTCGATGTAGCCGTCAGCATTTCTGCCAGTTGGGTGTGAGGGGCCTCAGAGCCCATTTTAGGGTCAGGGGGAGGGGGAGAAACAGTCCTGCTCATGACCCTGGGAAGCAGGGAAGAGCCACTGGGAGATGGGGCATCCTATTGCCTCATTTTGCGCAGAACGGGAGATGGAGGCCCAAGGTCACAAAACTGACCCCTCTCTGCCCAGCTCTGCCAGGGTCAGGGGCGGAGGTCCAGGCTCACACACTCACTTGTCAAACATGCGGAAGAGGTCTGACAGCTCCTCCTCAGACTTTCCTTTGCTGTCATCCTTCATGCACCGAACCATCATGACCAAGAACTCATCGAAGTCCACTGTGCCACTGCCTAGGGGAGAGGGCAGCACAGCCATTAAAGGGCGGAGGTCAGAGTGGCTGGCACTGCCCTGGACACTGACCCCGTGGTGTTCTCACTGAATCCGCCCAGTGACTCTGTGAAGCGAGTGTGATTATTGTGCCCATTGCATAGATGACATGGTTGAGGATCAGAGAGGCTAAACAGCTCCTTTAAGGGCACAGAATAATAAGTGGCAGGGCCAGGGTTCAAGTCCCCCCAGAGTTGGGGGCCTAGGGAGGGGCAAAAGGGCTCACCGTCCTCATCCACCTCGTCAATCATCTCCTGCAGCTCCTCAGGGGTGGGGTTCTGCCCCAGCATCCTCATCACCTTGCCCAGCTCCTTGGTGCTGATGCAGCCATCCTCAGCGCCCAGCACGAAGATGTCAAAGGCTGCCTTGAACTCTGTGTCCAGCAGGAGAGGAGAGGAAGCAGAGCAGCATGGCTCAGCCAAGTACCCTGAAGGCCAGACGCCTAGGGCCGCCTGCTAACCTGCCCGCTCCCCTCTGAGACCTCCGAGGTGATAGGGAGAGGGACCCCAGCCTCGGGCCTGCAGCCTGGGGTCCTCACACTCCCCCAGCTGGGCCCCGCTGTCTCCCCACATGCATGTTGGGGCACTCACCATTTTTCTGCTCCTCTGTCAGCTGCTCTACCTAGAGAAAAAAAGAAGTCTCCGGCTCAGGCCTTAGCTGCTGTCGAGGAAACCAGCCCATTCCACAGGTGGGAAGACTGAAGCCGGGAAGAGGTAGGCCATTCCCAGGTCACAGAGCAGAGGCCTCAGTTCCCCCACCCTGCCCCCAAAGCCCCGAGGTGACCCAGCTCGCCTCACTGAGGCTGGGCTCAGGGCCAGGGTGACAGGTGGGCACCCTCTGCAGGACCAAGGTGACCCCGAGTAACAATAGTCAGTTGACCACTCAGTGCCCTTTTAGCTCCCCTGCTGAAACCCAAGCTGGGTGGCCTGAGGGACAGCTGTCCCTCAGGTTGGGACAATGAAACCACAGTGGGGGTGGGCAAAGCCACCCGCTGTAACCTGACCGGGGTGGCCACTGGGCTATTTTTAATGGGGGACAAAGTTAAACCTGGTGATTGTTCTGGGGACTCTGGCATGCAGGGGGTGGGGCAACGTTATCTGGCCCCTTGGCCTCCTGGTGTCTCAAGAGCCAAAATTAGTCCCTGGCCCGCCAGGCCTTGTATGGGCATGGGGTGGAGGGCTGCCCCCTCCCCCAGCTCCACAGACTCCTGCAGAAAAGACAGGGGCGCCCCCCAGAGCCAGCTGTAGCCCTCCCTGCCCAGGAGGGGGGCCATATTTCCTGGAGCTGAGGTAGGGGTTCCCTTGCAGACAGCTGGCTGTGTCAGATGTCCTTGTCTCTGTGGTGGATGGAGGTCAGCAACACCCCCACTCCCAGGATGGAATAGCATCTGAAACCCCTCAGTGGCCCCTGCAGGGACTTGGGGTGACCAAGAAAAGGTGACCACCCTCTAGCCCTTCCCCCTAGCTGAGCCACTGAGCCCTGAGCCTGCCAGGCTGAACAGGGGCTGGGGCCCCAGTTCTGTTATTGCCTCCTAGTCCCTCTGTGCCTTCCTCAAGCTTCAAAGCCCTCTGCAGTCCCCTCCTCACAACCCCTGTCCCACCCTCCAGAGCATCTTCAGTCAGCCAAGGGGCTGGTGGGGGACTGGATGTGTGAGAAGCAGAATGTGAGGGGCAGAAAGGGGGAGAGGGAAACAGCGACAGAGCCTCAGAAGGAGAGCTTGGGAGGAACAAAGAGAGACTAGGAAAGAGACCAGAGGCACAAATGCAGAGAGGTGTGGCCCAGAGACAGTGACACAGACTACAGACGTTTGAAGACAGGGCCGGACATGATGCTATAGCTTTGATGTCCACCTCCACCAACCCTGACAGTTCCCCTCAGATCCTAAACTCTTCACCTCTTCTACACTCTGGAATGCCAGACCAACCGGCCCCTTGAAGGTCTGGGCTGAAAGTACGTGGCCCCTCTCCTGGGTCCCCACCACCTGCTTGGGGTAGTCTTGCCCCTGAGCCCCCAGTGGGTACACCCACCCCAGCCCCGCCCAGGCCCATCTCTTACCGCAGCCTTGTAGATGTCATCCATACTGGCGGCTCACAGGGCAGGCTGCTGGGGTTGCCAGCGGCCCTCGGCTTAAATAGCCCAGCCCCGCATTCCCGACCCAGCCCACCCCTGCCTGCAGTCCTCTACTCCCTCCCCCTGGCCCTGGTGATCTCACACTGGCCTGAGTCCCTGTGGCCTCTGCCCAGGGCAAGGAGCAGATGAAGGGCTACAAGGACCAGGGCTCTTTCCCTCTGCCCCCCATCCCCCCAGGAGACTCTCTGGAAACATTTTTGGAATGAATGAAAACATGAGTCCATGACAGGCAGGAGCTGCAAGGTAGTGGGCCCCAGGCCAGGCCCTCAGGCCAGCAACTCAACTCTTATCCAACTAAGGAGGTGGGTGAGGCTCCTGGAGGGGTGGTTACTTGGTCAGGTCTGGCTGACTTGGCAGCTCCTGACTTAAGCTAAACCCCTCTGGGCTTCCCTGGTGGCTCAGATGGTAAAGCATCTGCCTGCAATGCGGGAGACCCGGGTTAGATCCCTGGATCAGAAAGATTCCCTGGAGAAGGTGATGGCAACCCACTGCAGTACTCTTGCCTGGAAAATCCCATGGACAGAGGAGCCTGGTAGGCTAGGTCCATGGGTCGGAAAGAGTCAGACATGACTGAGTGACTTCACTTTCTTGCAGCAGTATGCAAGAAGAAGCCGGGAGTGTAGGACCCTGCCAAGAGAAGCCTCGAATGCCAGGCTCGGATTATGGTGCTGTGGGACTGGTGGAGAAGGAAGGCACTGACCTACATCAGCAGAGTGCGGTCTGGAGCCCTTCTGCCAAGGGTGCCAGAGGAGCCGGTCCCCAGACCTGTCATCTCCTCAGGGAGAAAAGTACTAGGTCTGGGCTGAACTGCACTCTACCAGTCAACAAATACACCAACAGATGCCTCATCTGTGTAAGACTCTCCGTCTCCAGTTGGGTTACTACCTCTCTTCTGGACCTGGGTTAGGGCTCCTCTGTGCCCATGCTTCCCCTTTCCAGCACTGTAGTTCCTGAGTCCAGGGCCAATCTGTTACCCACTCATTTTGAGCTCTGGTAGGATACCATCTGGGGGTGTTGTGCCAGATGGACAGCACATATCCTTTCCACCTAACCCCTCCACGTCCTTCAGGCAGCTGGTTTTGAGTGGCTCAGTCGTGCCTGACTCTTTGTGACCTCATGGACTGTATCCTGTCAGGTTCCTCTGTCCATGGGATTTTTTCCAGGCAAGAATACTGGAGTGGGTTGCCATTTCCTCCTCGAGGGGATCTTCCTGACCCAGGGATGGAACCCGCGCCTCCTGTTTGGCAGGCGGATTCTTTACCGCTGACCCATCTGGGAAGTCACAGAGCCTACACCAGTTCCCTGTCTTGCCTGCCAGCCACTGCATGGATTAACCCACTCAGTTCTCTAGAAAGTCCATTTGACAGAGATCTCTGAGTCTTGCAGAGGTTAAGAACTAGCCCAGAGTTATTCTGTCCTTTTCGGACTCCAGGTACAAATCAGATCTTCCTTCTTCTTCAACCCACTCGGGTCCTCCAGGGAATGAGACCAAGAGCTAGGTGAGATGTAATTACTGTCTCTTTTGCGGAGAGGAAAACTAAGGTCAGGCGTGGCAGTGACTTGCTTCGAGCAGCACGGAAGGTGCAGGGCCATCCCTTCCGAGTGCCGGAACCCAGAACAATTCCCGCCCGAGCCTCAGTTTCTCTCGAGCTGCAAGGCGCGCGGCGGGCGGGGCCCTTCGGGTACCGATTACGCAATCGAACAATCCCAGGCGGCCTGCGCACGCGCGCCGCGGGCCGCAGCTGTCAATTACGTGCGCGGGGCGGAGTGGGGCGGGGGCGCGAGAAGGCGGCGGGGCCAACATGGCTGCACTGTTCGCGCCGGGGGCGGGGGGCGGCGGGGGCCAGGGGGCGGTGGGACGCTGACCCCGCCCCCTACTGCTGCCAGTCTGCGCCGGGCGGCGGCGGCGGAGACCGAGCCCGGAACATGGCGGCGGCGGCGCGCAGCTTCGGGCCCGAGAGGGAGGCCGAGCCGGCCAAGGAGGCGCGCGTCGTGGGCTCTGAGCTCGTGGACACGTATACGGTGTGCTGGGGGCCCGGGCTCCCGAACTGGAGGTGGCGACAGGAACCCGGAGTCTTGAGTCGGGGCGGGGGGTTGGGGTGGGCTTCTTGGCCCCGCAGCTGGAGAGGAAAGTGTCGGGGCGCTGCGACTTTGAGGAGGGGGCCTGGGATGGCAGAATCTGGGGAACGGGCGCTTGGGCTTCGCAGGTCTGGAAAAAGGGTCTTGGGGTGGGGCGCAGAAAGGGGGCTTAGAAAGGGTATGCGTTTAGAAAAGGAGGCTAGGGATAGGAAGGATCAAGGGATAAAGGAGGCCTGCAGAGGAGAGGGGTCAGGTTGAGGCGGAGGCTCCTCTGGAGGGGCGCCAGCCTGGGAGGACGTGACAGGGGGTCCCGGGGAAGGGGAATTAGGAAAGGGGGTCTTCGGATGGTATCAGCGGAAAGGGTCAGGGCTCTGCAAGCCATGAAGAAAAAGAGGGGGCGGGGCCTTGATCTGGGGGCCCTTGGGGTTGCAGTTGACACTTGCTCAGAAGTGAAGGGGGCATCTGGGGGCCTTGGCACTCAGGCAGAGACAAGAATGGAGGAGGGTGGAGCCCAGACCCCGGGAATTGAGGGGGTGGCTCAGGACTGAGAGAGAGTCCAAGAGCCCGGAAACTTAGGGGTCTTCATGGCTTTGGACTGTGGGGTGAGCTAGAGCAGCACACTGCCCACGCACACTTCAAGGCTGTGGCAGAGATGCAGGATAGAAAAGGGGAGAAGTTGCAGATTGTGATGAAGTAGGACGCCCTCCTGGGTCTGGGTGGGCTTGGGCGCCTGTGGGCCTGGTAGGCTGCCTAGCAGGGACTGGCCCCAAGGTGGGGGTGGCCTGAGCACCTCTCAGCCTCCTGTCCTTTGTTCTGGGATTATGGTGAGTTGGGGAAGGGGGCTTGGCTCTGCCTTCACCCCACCTCCTTGGCCCTCATCCTAACCCTCCTGAGGATCATTTTTCTGGCTCTTTCTCCTTTCCTGGGCAGGAGGAGGGGGAGGGAAATGGTCAGGCTGTGGAGGGGCTCCTACGGATCCTGGAGCCACAGGCCTGTTCCTCAATGGAGGCTTCGGTTGAGTTGATTATTTTCTCCTCCCCCTTCCCTGCATGCTGCAGAGAGGGGCACGATGCAAGGACCATGGGGCCTAATCCAGGTGAGGGCTTAGCTCTGGTTAGACATCACGCATGCACTGCATCCACTTGGAGGGTTAGCTCCAAAAAGCCCTCCTAGTCCACAGGGCTGAGGTCCTCTGAATGGGTGTTGGTAAGGTGGTGATTTTGTTTCCTTTTGTCCGGGTATGCTGAGTTGAATAATTATCAACACCTGCCTTTGATTGATCACTTACTACATGTCAGGCCCTTTACAAAGCATTTTGCATACATTACCTTTGATTCTTAATCCTCCCAGATTTTAAGATGGGAACTGAGGCTCAGAGAACTTAAGGCTGCCAGTCACTTACATAGGTTGACATACATACATAAACTATAGCCAGGAATGGCAGAACCAGATTTTGAACACAGGTCTAACTGGCGCGTTCCCTTCTGTTAGGGCTTAATTATCTATCACTGCTGTCCTCTCAGCTTCTAAGTGCCTTGACTCCTGGCTGTTTTCAGCTCCTGAACCAGCTGAAAGCGTTGGAAAAGGACTTGCTTCTAGGATATAGTCAGGGCTCCTGAGAAAGAACTGAAGCGGAAAAGCTGATCCTGCCAAACCTGACCCTGTTTTGCCTCAGAAGGAAAGCCTTTCTTGCAGCTCAGGTTGGATTGGACTTTGAATTACATGGAGGCTGGAGTTAAAAAACTGAAGAGATTACTTGATATGATAGCTGCCTGTTTTGTTTCTCACTGTTGGATAGGGGTCAGACTTCTCCCGTATGCCTGCCAGATCCAGTGCTAGGGCCATGGAAGAGGCTAAAAGGGGGCCCCTGCCTCTCAGCAAGGGTCAGGTACAGAGGCTGGTGGGCCGGAGCAGCTTAAACTTCGGCCTGGGGGGTTTGATGGTCCTGCAGCTATTGCTGAGGGTAGGGTGGCACTTTGCTTATTGCTGGCTAGGCAAGGGCTATTCTCCCTCTTAGGTTTACATCATCCAGATCACTGATGGCAGCCATGAGTGGACAGTCAAGCACCGCTACAGTGATTTCCACGACCTACATGAAAAGGTAATTGAGAATTGGGGTCCTGTATTTTAGGGCTTTGGGGGCTTTTAGGCCAAGTTCCCATTGTGTCACAGGTTGGTACTAGGGCAAAGCTGGTTTATTAATGTAAATGGCAAAAAAACAATAACAACCAAACCCGTTGGATCCTGGGAGTTCAGCCCTTGCATGAGACAGTGTGCAAGGAGTGTATTTGAACTTCAATTGTAAGATTGACAGTTGTAGCTAGGATATGAGATGCTGGGATAGTTGCCAGGGGAGGGAGCAGGCTTCAACTTGTTCCACCTGAGTATACCTATTCCAGAACCTGTGCTTTCGTATCTGGCTGTAATTCTTTCTTTGCATTTGGAGAGAACTGCCTTTCTCTGGGTCATTTGTAGCGTGAAAATTGTGTGGTTTGGAGAAGATGGTGACTTCAGGGCTTGGAGGTATTACTTTCCTAAATGTCTCCAAAGTCTTTTGGTGGAACTCATTGTCTAGAATTGTATTGGTGTTTCGAGTGCTAATTAAACTTGAGGGCAAACCCAGGTGCACTAGTTTGATCACTAATCGTGGTACTCCTGCCACGATGAGCTTCGTAGCGAGCACCTGCCCTCAGCTGCTTACCTTGGCCTCGCACAGTTACAGAACCTCTTGGTCTGTGGTTGACATGCTTATGTTTTCTTACAGCTTGTTGCAGAGAAGAAGATTGATAGAAGTCTGCTTCCGCCCAAAAAGATAATTGGGAAAAACTCCAGGAGCTTGGTGGAAAAGAGAGAGAAGGATCTAGAAACTTATCTCCAGACACTCCTGGCCACCTTCCCTGACGTGGCCCCCAGAGTGCTGGCCCACTTCTTGCATTTCCACTTTTACGTAAGTTCCTCTTGGGTTTTCTCCTTCGCCTGCAAGCCTCCAGCCTCCAGAGCTCCAGGTAGCAAGCCTTGTAGACTTCAACTGTGAGAGGTAGGCTGGAGTTGGAGCCTGAGCTTGGAAGATGGAGGAGAATCCTGGCGGGCTGGGGTTCAGACAGAGCGTGTTCATAAACAGATTTGCCTTAAATTAGGCTGACCAGCTCTGGCCACAGAGAGGTCTTCCTCCACCGCAAACCGTTTTGTTTAGCAAAAATGGCCTGTGGGTGTTTGAGCAAGGTTTCCATCCAAGTGGATGGGGTTAGATTAGAAACAGCTGACACCTGGCATTGACTGTTGTTGAGTTGTTGGTTCCCAGCTCAAAACTAACTAAGGGATCCAGCTGTTTTGGCAGAATATTGCCATCTTAGGGCATCGTCAGAGTCCAAGGTGCTGAGTGAGGGTAGGTGTCGTCCTCCAATGGGAATGTACGTCTCAGGGCAGTTCTGCACTCCCTTCTGGATGGAGGAACAACGGTCATGGGCTGCTGGTGACAGTATGAGTTGTCACACTTCAAGGAGGGAAGTTGGGTGCAGTGTGAAACCAAAACGTTAAACAACCCAGTAATTTCATTTCTGAGAATTTATTCTAAGGGACAAGACTGGGCTACTGAGAAAAGGATATAGGTGTAAAGGTAGTCATTCCAGAATTATAATAAGATACTGAAGACAGTCAAAAGCCCCATAGGAGGTGACTTAAAAAACAAAAAAATTAAAGGGAGCTAGCATGGAATTGGATATTATGCTGCTAGAAAAATGATGATGTGTCTGTGGATTTGTTGATGTAGGAAAAGAAATACATTACTAGATGAAGAGCAGGGCAGAAAATGGTATTAGGGTATGGTCCTATTTTTATTTTAAAAAGTTTGTATAAATATATTTGGGAAAATTCTAGAAGGTTATACATCAAAGTATTACGAGGAGTTGTTTTTAGGTAGTAGATTTTTGGATAATTTACATTTAATTATTTTCCTTTTGTGTGATGAAGATAGGAAAAAAAACCCAAAACAACCCAGTCCGTTTTCAGGCTTGCCTTTTAGCAAGGGACCTTTGGGTTGTGGTCTTAAAAGGCCAAACTTGTTTAAAAAATAATTGTCTTGAGATATTTTCAGAGTGAGACAGCTGAACCTTTCTTGAAGTGTTAGATAGAACCTGGAAATTTGGTGATGGCACTAGCAGTAGGCCACTCAGCTTGGAGGAGCCCTGTGGAAAAAAAGAATGGCATTTATAGATGGGAGCTATATATGTGTGTCTATCTTTGGATTTTGTTTGGCGTGTACCAGTAATATATGTGGTTAGCAGTGGTTTTCCTGTTGTAGACTTTTTTTTTTTTTGCATTTTCTTTCCTTATGTGAAAAAGAAAAGTCCATTCCTTATGTGAGTCTTTCAGAAAACTGGTTAGTGTTTTAAGAAATGCTGTACTTTAAGAAAGCTTTGATTAGCTATTTAAGTTTAAAGTATAATTCATTGCTTAAGACCTGGGCCTTTGAGGCCGTCTCCTGGCTGCCTCTGAGCATGGAAAGGCGTGGACTGCTTTTTGTTTTTTAAATAATTTTATATGTTAATTATTATTATTTTGGCTGCGCTGGGTCTTCATTGCTATGCGGGCTTTTCTCTCGCTGTGGCAAGTGGGGGCTACTCTTGGTTGTGGTGCACGGACTTCTCACTGCGGTGGCCTCTCGTTGCGGAGCACAGGTTCTCGGCACGCGGGCTTCAGTGATTGCAACACGCAGGTTCCGGAGTT